CTGGCTAGGCACAGACAGCTTGAGGAAGGGGAGAGGGCTAGGGGCAGGTGGCTCAGGTGAAGGCCAAGACTCGCGTGTCCAGCTGGGTGTGAGGGCCCCACCACAGCTGCAGATGTGGCTCAGAGACCCCTAACTCGCAGGGAGGTTCCAGGTGCAGTCCTGCAAGCAATGGTCTGAGCTGTCCAAACAAGAAGTGGCCAGCTGTGCAGGCCTGCTCTGGGGTCGGCTGCAGGGGGAGCCTGGGATAAGGAACCCTGCAGAGTGAGCAGGGGAGGCTGCATGGCTGATGGCAAGTGAACCCCCACTGAAGCGCAGGGTGGAAGCTCTGCCTGGGGGTGAGGCTCTAGGAGCAGGTTTGTTGCCTGACACTGCAGGGGACCCTGGCCACTGCCTGAGCCCTGGTGCCCAGCCTCTAGCCCCCTCTTCCTCACTGACATGGGGCACGGTTGCAATTCTCCGATTCTCCTCCATTAGCTACTAGGCTCCAAGCGCTCCCATGAACAGCCCACGGGCACAACCGCCTCAGCCTTCTGGGTGGGCAGGGCCTGTGAATGCCTGTGAATGCAGGCAGGGCTAGGGAGAGGCACCAGGTCAGTGCCCATGGGGTGGACACATCACAACCCATTCCAAACCAAACCTGGCATCCTGGGTACCCTACTCACAGTGAGCAAGAAGCCTGCCAAAGGCCAGAATGTGCCAACAAGAGATGGCTGTGTCCACCATTCCTACAGGGACTGGAGAGGTGGTGTATGTGTGTGTAGCCCCAGGAGGATGGGAATCTGTGGGGTGGGAGCCTAGGGGTGTCAGACTTGGGGGGACAGGAGCCTTGGGGTGTGTCAAACCTGGGGGTATGGGATCCTTGGGGGTGTCAAACCTTGGGGGGGCAGTAGCCTGGGGGTGTCAGACTGGGGGGGGGGTGGGAGCCTGGGGTGTCAGACCTAGGGGGCAGTGGCCTGGGTGTGTCAGACCTGGGGGGGCCATTGCCTGGAGGGTGTCAGACCTGGGGGAGGATCTATCTGATCTGGGAGGGCTGGGGCATAGATGTCCTCTCACCCATGCCTCCAGGCCCTGGGGACAGCTGCTGGTTGACACCTGGCCACCCACTGGCCAGGTTGGGGGTGGGAGGACAGGGTGAGGTCCACGTGTAGGTAGTGAGAATGTTGGAACCCTGCCGGGGAGAGGAAACAGCAGGGGTGTGGGAGGCAATGGGGTCTGGGCCTCCTGAGGGCTGAGAGAGATAGGTAGGGTCGCTGCTGATGGCTGTGGGTGGGCAGCTCTGGCTCTGGTTGTGCAGGAGGGATGGCTCCCCACCAACCCTGCAGCGCAGGGCGCGCCCACAACTGCGGTCCCCTCACTGTGTCCCCGCTCACCTCAGTCGCTCCGTGGTTCCGGCAGGGGCTCCCACGGGAAGGGGTCCCACCCGGGATCCCACCCACCCCTCCACCCCTCCACCCCTCCACCCCTCCCCTCCGAAGTGCGGTTGAACCAGGATCTGAAATCCCGGTGCCAGTCGCGGCCCTCAGGCCCTGGTTGGTTCCCTCCCAGCGACTCGCAAGGCCGGAGACACGGCCACCGCGCCTACCGGACATGGTGCTGGCCATGGTGCTGGAGGTGGCGGTTGCTGCGGAGGCTGGAGGGATGCGGGCGCGGCTGAGGCTGCAGTCTGGGTTGCTGCAGTGCCAGGGGGAGGAGCGGCGGGAGGGAGGGAGGGAGCGAGCAGGGTGGAGAGCGCGCTGGAGAGGAAGGGCGGGAGAGGGGGAGGGCGATGCACAGAAGAGGAGGAAAGGGAGAGGGAGGGGGAATGCAAGGGAGATGAAGGGGGAGAGGGAGGGATGCATGGGGGAGGGGAAAGGGAGGGGAATACAAGGGGGATGGGGAGGGGGGATGCACGGGAGAGGCGGAGGGGGAGGGATGCAAGAGGGAGGGGAGGGGAGAGAGGCATGCAGGGGAGAAGGGGAGGGGAGAGGGAGGGGCATGCAAAGGAGAGGGGGATGGGGAGGGGGATGCACAGGAGAAGGGGAGGGAGAGGGAGGGCCATGCAAGGGAAAGGGGCAGGGGGTGCACGGGAGGGGGAGGGAGAAGAGAGAGGGATGGGAGAGGGGGGAGGAAGGCTGGAGGCAGAGCCATAGAGGAGGCAGGGACAGGGCTGGGGCCATCTGGTCTGTCCCCAGTAGGCTTTGTACCTTAGGGAGGGACTGTTGCCCTGAGCACCCAGGACGGGGTGGAAAGGGGGCAGGGGCAGTGAGTGGCCAGACCTAGCATGGACAGCTGACGGTCAGTCCCAGTTCAGACTCCATGGTGGGCTTGGCTCATGCATGCCCAGCTAAGCCATTCCCATGCCTGAAAACACTGCCATGTCTCCTGCTTTCCTCGCATCCCAGAAAGGAGAGAGCCTAGCACACAGATGGCAGCCGTGGTGGCTCCTGGACGTGGGTCCCTGTCACACTGTGGGGACCCTGACTGCCACCTGGCTCAAGCCCTGAGCTGTTGTGAATTCTGGGGAGTGAACCGTACAAGAATGATCTCTTACCGTCTCTCTTCTTCTGGTTACCAGACAAGTAGAGACAGAGAAACAGATAAGAGAAGACCAGCGGACCCTGCTGGGGACAAGAGGGCAGCTCTGGGCCAGGGCCTGACACGGAAGTGATGCCCACCACGATGCCCTGACAACAGGTCACCTCCTCATGACCATTGGCTTGACCTTGGGAGCTGAGAACTATGAGCCAGATTAGGGCCTGGCACAATGACTCAACTGGCTAATCCTCGCCTTGCATGTGCCCGTGTGTACTGCTTCATGTCCCAGCTGCCCCACTTCTCATCCTGCTCCTTGCTTGTGGCCTGGGAAAGCAGTGAAGAAAAAAGATTTGTTTTATTTTGATTGGAAAGTCAGATTTACAGAGAGAAAGAGAGACAGAGAAACATCTTCCATCCACTGGTTCACTCCCCAAGTGGCCATAATGCCATGAGCTGAGCTGATCTGAAACCAGGAGCCAGGAGTTTTTTCAGGATCTCCCATGCAGGTGCAGGGTCCCAAGGTTTTGGACTATTCTCTGATGCTTTCCCAGATCACAAGCAGAGAGCTGAATGGGAAACAGAGCAGCCAGGATACAAACCAATGGCCACATGCAGGATGAAGACTTTAGCCACTAGCCTACCGCTCCAGGCCTGTAATAAATAAATCTTCTGAAAAATTGATTTTGGGGAGCTGGCTTTGTGACGCTGTGGGATAAGCCACTAGCTGTGATGTTGGCATATCATATATCTTGCTTTCAGTGCTGACAGCTCCACTTCTGATCCAGCTCCCTGCATGTGGCCTGGGAAAGCAGCAGAGGACCCAGGTACTTGAGGCGTTGTACTACAAGAGACTGAATGGAACTTCCATGTGTCTCTGTGCCACTGTAACTTTGCAATTATATAAAAAACTGGGCCTAGCACAGTGGCCTCACCTTGCATGTGCCAGGATCCCATATGGGTGCCAGTTTTAATCCCGGTGGCCCTACTTCCCATCCAGCTCCCTGCCTGTGGCCTGAGAAAGCAATGGAGGACAGCCCAAAGCCTGGGACGCTGCACCTGCGTGGAAGACTTGGCTCTGGGAGAAGTGGCTCTGGGCTTCTGGCTTCAGATTGGCTCAGCTCTGGCTAAGGTTGCCTCTTGGGGAGTGAATCCTCTCTGTATATCTGACTTTGCAGGAAAAATAAATGAATCTTTAAAAAAATAATTATGTTAAAAAAATTTTTTTTAAACCCAACTTTTTAGAGAGACGGCATACACCACCCCTGGTCATTCCCCCAACACCCACGGCGGCTGGGGCAAGGTCAAGCCAAGCACAGGGCCCCTGGAGGGCAGGGAGCAGTCCCAGAGCTGACACTGCTTCGTCACATCGCTGTATAGCAGGATGGGCACTGGCATGTTGCCAGAGCCGGAGCCTGGGTGAGGTGAGGTGAGGAGCCCCACACTTCCTCTCCAGGCTGCTGGCCCCAACCCTGGCCACTGGTGGCTAATGGGTCCTCCCCAAAGTCCAAGAGAGGCTTGTGAGCATCCTGCAAGGCTGGCCTGCTGGACATCCAGCGCACTCCACGGGAGACCCAAGGAGAGCCCCTGGCCTTAGCTGGGCCAAGCTCAAGCTGTTATGGGACTCTGGGGAGAAAGCCAGTGGAATGGCTCTGTTTCAGATAAGTACATGAATGAACAAATGCATAAACCCAGCCTTTTTAAAGAGACACTGTTCATACTGCACATCTGGGCCCCCTGCCACCAGCATGTGGGCACCAGCAGATCTGTCCCAGATTGGATCCAGGCTGGGAGGACTGGGCAGGGGCACCAGGCTGGACCCCAGGGCTGGGTGGACTGGGCAGGGGGTAACCAGGCCCTCGGGCGATGGGAGAACACGGGTATCAGTGAACCATGAGCAGCAGGCTCCTGGAGTGAAGGCAGTCTTCTTCTACCCAGCCGTCAACTCCTTAAGGACTGCCCCCTGCCCCGGCAGGCAGGGCAGATCCCTAGGAGCAGCACCCGTCTTGGGAGAGCAGGTTCCTGTTGCACTGTTTATTTGAAGAAGGGGTTCCACACTCTGGCCCACTCCCCCAGTGTCCACAGGCCCACGGGCCAGGAGCTGGGGTGGCAGGCCCTGGGAGGCCGCCTCCAGGTGTCCTTAGCAGGAAGGACTGGAGATGTGCGCTCTGGCCGACGCCCCAGGCACGGAGGGAGCGCCCCAGGGCGTTAGGGGCCACCGCTCAGCCGCGGCCTTCCCAGCACTTGCACGGGTCTCCTCCCAAGGGCGTCCCCTCAGGGCCAGAGCGGAGCGGGATGCACCCCGGGGCCTCCCCGGCTGAGGCTCGCCTCGCCCCGTCCCTCGGGAGAAGGACCGGGCTCCAATGACTTGGCCGGCGCAGCGGCGGAGGGCAGCTCGGTTCAGGGTACGCGTTTCCGGCCGGAGCAGCGAGCGGCGGGCCGGAAGTGGAGGAGGAAGTGACGCGCGCAGCAGCCCGCGAAGCCTGAAGTGGCCTGGTCGGGGGCGGATGGGGCGTCCTTCTCCGCCCCGGGCATCGCGGCCGACATGCCGCTAATCGTGCTGAACGGCGTGCGCGTGGACTTCCCCTTCCCGCCCTACGAGTGCCAGCGGGAGTACATGGCCAGGGTGCTGGAGTGCCTGCAGAAGGTTGGCGGCCGGATGGACGGTGCCCTGGGGTGGACGCTGCCCCGGGACGGTGCCCTGGGGTGGATGGTGCCCTGAAGTGGACGCTGCCCTAGGCTGGGCAATGCCCTTGGGCGGATGCTGCCCTGGAGCAGGCAGTGCCTTCAGCGTGGACAGTGGTGCCTTCAGAGTGGGTGGCAAGGCCAGCAGTGCCGTGGGGTAGGCAGTGCCCTCACGGTGGGCAGTGGGGTGTGCAGCAGGGTGGGCAGTGCCCTAGGCGTGGGCAGTACCTTGGGGTGTGTAATGGGATGAGCATTGCCCTCAGGGTGGGCGGCAGGCTGCCAGGCTGAGTGAGGAGAGCTCCCACCCTGCCCTTGCACCTGCCCAACTGAGCCTGCCCTGCCGATCCAGAAGGTGAATGGCATCCTGGAAAGCCCCACCGGCACGGGCAAGACGCTGTGCCTGCTGTGCACCACCCTGGCCTGGCGCGAGCACCTACGAGACGCCATCTCTGCCCGCAAGGTGGCCGAGAGGGCACAAGGGGAGCTGTTCCAAGATGCTGCACTGTCATCCTGGGGGAATATGGCTGCCACTGACCCCATCGGTGAGGCCTAGTGGCTTGTCGGGAGGGTGAACATCTGCTCTCAGCGCCTGGCAAGGGTTGTCTGCAGCCACCATTAGCCTGGGGCCCCCACCTCACCTGCTTCTGCTGACCTAGTTGGGTGTGGGGTCTCAGCTGTGACGGCCTGGCAGTGCTGCGTGCAGCTGGCGCAGCTGTGGCCTGCCAGACATCATTGGGCTGTGCTGGCCTGGGCTGGCCTCAGCCCACACAGCCCTGACCTGCGTCCTGCTGGACAGCTTGCTATGCTGACATCCCGAAGATCATTTACGCCTCCCGGACACACTCCCAGCTCACTCAGGTCATTGGTGAACTTCGGAGCACCTCCTATCGGTGGGTGGCCAGGCCCTGCTGCGTGTGTGTGTGTGTGTGTGTGTGTGTGTGTGTGTGTGTGTGTATGTGTGTGTGTGAGAGTATGCCCGTGTGGCCACACTGTGATGGTTGGTGAGGCGCAGTGGGAGGGTGCTGGTGCTGGTCCCTGATGGCCGGGCTGGATCTGGTCCTGGAATGAGGAAACAGCTCTGAGTTGAGGCTGTGCTGTGGCGAGGTAGGGGCTGTTGCTGGACGTGGGAGAGGCTCAGGCTGATAACTGAGCAGGGAGTGTGGAAGCCTGAAGTCTTGGCCCCTCCCCCCCTCCGCCCTGTCCCGCTCCCCTCCCCTCCCATCCCCACTCCTCCCTTCTCAGCCTTCTCCTTGCTCCCCTCCCTTCTGCTCTATTCTGGCCCCTGTTCCTTCCTTGGCCATCAAGCCGCATGTGCTCATGCTATTGGGGCCCATATGCCCCATTCTCAAATTAGGGTTCTTGGAGGTGGCCCCCCCGATCCCATGGCTCTTTCCTTTGCTAGACCCAAGGTGTGCGTCCTGGGCTCCCGAGAACAGCTCTGCATTCACCCGGAGGTGAAGAAACAGGAGAGCAACCACATGCAGGTGGGCCCCAGGCTGGCCGTATGCCAGCAGCCTTGGCTGGGGATCTCTGTGCCTCTGGGCTGCAGGGGAAGAGCTGACGAGGGCAAGGGGCCTGGGAGGCTGTTGCTTGGCAGCAATTTTCCTCTTTTTCCTTCAGATCCACCTGTGCCGCAGGAAGGTTGCAAGTCGCGCCTGTCATTTCTACAACAATGTGGAGGGTGAGAGCCACTCTTGTGGGGCCGTAGGACAGTCAGTGTGGCTGGGGTCTGTGTCGCCCTCTGATTGGGAATTCCACGCTGGGCACCAAGCACAGGAGCAGCTCCCATGCTGGCCTTAGCTGCCCCAGGGCCTAATGCTCCTGGAGGGTCCTGCTGATTTGCTGTAGGTGGGTGGGGCACTATACTCTTGGGGCATGCTGGGCAGGGGTGCCTCCCAACCAGCCCCTGCAAGAACTGTGCCAGGGTCCTTGCGGTTGCCTGGCTGGACATGTCTGCTGGGGCCATCATGGCTTGTGGTGTGACAGGCTCAAGGGCACTGCCTGCCTCTGTGCCCACACTCTGCCCGGCAACCCCGAGTGCCAGGGGCTGCACTACAGGCTTGCTGGGGAGGTTCACCTTGGCTGGCTGTGTCTGCTGGCACTGGGACCCTAGGCTTCCTGGAAAATGATTGGTCAGGCCAGCTAGTGAACTTGCTCCACCCTCAGGCCCTGACAGACATCCTGTCCACTCAGGCGCCCTATCCAAACAGCAGGTGTGGTGTTTGGAGGCCGTCTGGGGAGGCCTGTGGCTGCCAGCTCTGACTCTGCTGCTTCCGACATGTTAGGTTCCAAAGCTGGCTATTCTCTCGCCATGTTAGAGTCCGGGCTAAAGCCCCCGGACGTCAAGGGTGCGAGCTAGTCAACCCCCAGATAATGACAAAGAGTCTCACTGGTAATGCAAACAGCAAACAGAGTTTATTGTGCCAGCATGCTGGGGTCAGACTGCACTTGGGGCACACAGGCCAGCCAAGCGGGTGGTCAGACCCTGAAGGAGCCCAAGACAGAAGCTTATATAGGCCCTTTTGGGCTGGGAAATACATCATAAGTAACAACCTTAGACATGTTAATTTTTATGGCCTTCAGGCACAGGCAGCCTGTTCTGTTCCCATACCCATTATCCGTATGGCTCATCCCATTCTCACACCCTTATCTTCCTCCTGTTCCTGGGATGGGGAAGAATTGTGCCCTTGCCCCTCTGCACCTGGGTTCACAAAGTTGTAGGACAGCAAATAACAGATTTATCACTAAAGTGGAATCCTCCCAAAGTCCAGGCGCCTCCTGGCCTGGCAAAGTAGCAGTTTTCTCTACACAAAGGAACCTCACACTGCCCAACAATAGCATTTTACCCACACTCTAACAGCCAGGCCTTGTCCTGTTTGCGTCCTGCCCCCTGAACACCTGGGCTTGTGTGATGGGGCTATACCCCTGGGCTTGGCCAGCACCATCTGGCTTTCCCCCGCTGCCATGGTGTGACGGGGCTCAGCCCTCACCCATGTAGGGTGCTGAACAGCTGCCAGCTGGGGGCAGCTTTCCTGCTGAAGAAGATACCCAGTCCTCCTCGCAGTGAACAGGGGCTGACAGTTGGCCTGACGGTCTGGCCTGGAGGCTGCATGCCAGTCCCAGCTTAGCTCCAGGCTGGGTACCCTTGCTGTGTCTGTCTCCACCTCCTGCAGTGGGCTTGAGAGGCGGGGACTAGGGAGGGTAAAGGACAGCAGGTGCCCCTCTTGGCCTGGGTGGGGAGTGGACATTGAACAGATCCCCTCTGGCTGCTTCTCTCCAAGGAAGATGGAGAGCCCTACTCTGCCACCCTGCTGTGTGATGCTGATTGACTGTTGGTTGCTATGGTGCTGAACTTGCTGTGCTGTGTGCTGATTGGCTTGTGGTTGCTATGGTGCAGAACTCTTACTGTACTGATTGGCTGGTAGCTGGCCTGTGCTCTTCCACAGTAACCTGGGGCTTTCTGGTCTGCTGGGGCAGGTTCTGTCTTACCCTTAGAAGCCCGATACCCAATGGGGCTTTGTCTGAGCCAGCTACCATGGAGCTGGGAGTTGGGGTAGCACTGTCTCCACATACAGCTGCCTTGGGCCCTGGGTGCCTATTAGGAGAGATGTGGGATCCAAGAGCCTGGTGCCCCAGCACCTAGTGGTTCTTTGGGGTATCTTAGCTGGTACAAGTTGTTCCTGGTCCCCAGCTGCCTTCTTGAGGGAGAGGATGGGCCACTACTTGGCCTATGGGCAGTAGAGGAGCTTGACCCCAGCATGGCAACGACTTGGGCCCTGCCCAGGCAGGGACAATAGGCAGGGACCAGCTCCCAGCCCTGGGGCCTTGCTGCCTCGAGGGACAGCCTGGCTTTATTGTTGTTGCTTTTTTTCTCTCTACTTGAGAGAAAGAGAGAGCACATTCTTGCTTCAGCTGTTCACCCCTGCATGTCTCCACTGGCTGGGGGCCTGACTACCATGGGAGCCCAGTCCTCCGTCTGCTCTCCCACCTGTGGGTGGCAGAGGTGACAGCTGCCTCACAGGGCACACGGGCAGGAAGCTGGCTCAGGAACCCAGGAGCCCGACCAGCCTTTGCCAGTGTCCTGCTGCCATGCCCACCCAAGTCTTTTACTAAGGGTGCAGCAAGGTGAGGGAACTGGCCCCTGTGGGGCTCAGGACGCGACAAGGGGGTACATGCCTGCACCACCCCTACCATCTGGTGTGGAGCAGCATGTGTCCATCCTGGTCGGGCTTGGCCTCCTGGGCTGTGGGGCAAGGCTCCCTCAGAGGTGCACTGGAGGTCCGGCAAGCCCACCCTGCCTGCCGTGTGGGGACTGCTGGGTCCCAGCATCTTCAAGGCTGTGTAACCACAAGGCTGTCTTGTGCCACAGAGAAAAGTCTGGAGCCAGAACTTGCCACCTCCATCCTGGACATTGAGGACCTGGTGAAGAGCGGCAGTAAGCACAAGTGAGAGCCCTTGTGTGGCGGCTGGGGCCTAGCGGGCAGGCACGGCAGCCACTGGGCCTTGGTCGGCGACAAGCTGTACGTGTAGGAACACATGCATTTTCATTTGCTTGTTTTTGAATTTTAATTACATGTTTTTGAAAGAGAAAAAAAGAAATCTTCCATCCAGATTCACTCCCCCAGTCCCACAGTACTTGGCTGGCCAGATTGAAGCCCAGAGCTGAGAACTCAGTCCAGGGCTCCCGTGTGTACAGGGTGTGCAGGGACTCGCCACTTCCCAGGGGTGCCTTAGCAGGCACCGTATTGCAGAATATGGGCATTTCCAGGGTGATGTAACTGTTGTCCCAGGACCTCACACTGCAGGAGGGTTGTTGGAATGAGCTACTGAGAGAGAGGCAGAGAGATGTCTCCATTCAGGGGTTCACTCCACAGATGGCCACAACAGCCAGGGCTGGGCCAGGCCAAGGCCAGGAGCTTTCTCTGTGTCTCCCACGTTGGGTGCAGGGGCCCAAGGACTTGAGCCACCCCGTCCATGGTCCTGGTGCTCACCTCTGTGTAGGAGTAGGCTCCAGCTTCATTTTGTTTTCAGGGCTTACAGTTGTGTGTCTGCCTAGCTGGAAGCTCACCTGGCTCCTCACCTGGGCCACAGTTCCTTTTGGGCCAGCCCTGCCCTGTGGGTCCTCACTGCGTTTCCCCTCCTGCCTACCTTAGGGTGTGTCCATACTACCTGTCTCGGACCCTGAAGCAGCAAGCTGACATCATCTTCATGCCGTATAATTACCTACTGGATGCCAAGGTGAGGCTGAGCACTGGGGGCTCAGCAGCAGGCATGGCACCTGTCCCCATCAGGCTATCTGCTCTTCCTGTCCCTGTTGTGTAGGTCAGGTGGGCCTGGGGAGGACATGCAGAGTGGATTCGCTTCTGAGAAGGTTAGGGAAAGCCTGGCCAGAGCACAGTGAGCTGGGGGCATCTGGGTGGGGTTACTGAGAACAGGGATATGGAAAAGCAGGAGGCCACCCAGAGGCAGGGGTAGCAGCAGGTGGGGGCATAAGAAGTGGTATTGGTTGGCATGTGTTTGCCAGAATGCAGCTATGCAGTTGTTGTCTGGGTGTTCTCTTGCATGTTATTTGAAGGATAAGACCCATGCTGGATTCTGTCCTTCAGGCAGGTTGGCCCGCTGCACATTAGGGCAAGAACAGCTGAGCAGGGTCCTCGCCTTAGTGCTGTGTGTGGGGGCTGCTGGTCCATGTGGGAGGTGCTGCACGGGCCTGGACCCAGTGACTGTGTCCACGCTTGCTGTCCCAGTGCTATGGGTTCTACCCTTGGCCACAGCCTCTCTTTCTGCCGGCAGAGTCGCAGGGCGTACGGTATCGATCTGAAGGGGACTGTGGTGATCTTTGATGAAGCCCACAACGTGGTGAGTAGTTACTGGCCTCTGTCAGGGTCCCTGTCTGACCGAACCATATTCCTGGAGCAGCCCCAGAGTAGCCCCGTAAACTCCCCAGCTCTGTGCACTCCCAGCCCTACACACCCAGCTCTGTGCACACCCAGCTCTGTACACCTGGCCCCATGCACACCCAACTGTCCACACAACTCTATGCACACACAGCTCCGTGCACTAACAACCCTGTGCACACCCAGACCCCAACACTCCCAACTCTGTGCACACCTAGGCCAGGAAAAGCTCCCTGCACAGCCAACCTCATGTCCCTTCCACACATTCCCCAGCTGGAGTGAGAGCTGGCCTGCTGGCACACTTGTCCTCAGTCACAGATCCTCCATACCTGGAGCCTTACCAGGTCCCATCTTAGCTGGCAGGTGAGCTGGCCTGGGTTGAGTCCTGCGCTTTCTGCCTGTTAGCTCCCCTCTGCCTCTTGGTCTTAAGGCTTTTGAGGAAGCTGCTTGGCCCTGGAGTTCTCAAAGGGCCCCTGACCTGACTTCATTAGTTTCCCAGCACAGCTCGTGTGCCCTCCTCCCAGCCCCATGTTTCCTAGTGTGGACAGGACTGCATGCAGCCAGGCCCCCACACCCCAGCAGCCACCTACAGCCCCACTTAGCTCAGGTAGCGCTTCCTGGGGTATAGTGGTCAGAAGGCTAGATTTGGAGAGGAATTCCCCAGATGCCAGGTGTTACAGCTCAAGTGGAATCATCAGTTTTATTCATTGGTGGGGGCCAGATGGAGCCCCTCTGTGCCAATCATGGCCTATCCCTGACCTGTGGTGCGATGACCTGTCCATGTCACCTTGTATTGCTGTGGCCATCCCTGTACCCATGGCTCTGTGGCACCCTGCATTACTGTAGCCATCCCTGTAACCGTGGCTCCATGGCACCCTGCATTGCTGTGGCCCGTCTCTGCCTACCCCCCATGGCTCCGTGGCACCCTGCATTGCTGTATTGCCGTGGCCTGTCCCTGGCCCCCCCGTGGCTCCACGGCACCCTGCGTTGCTGTGGCCATCCCTGTACCTGTGGATCCCTGGTACCCTGCATTGCTGTGGCCCGTCTCTGCCCACCCCCCATGGCTCCATGGCACCCTGTATTACTGTGGCTCGTCTCTGCGCACCACCCCCCCATGGTTCCATAGCACCCTACTTTGCTGTGGCCCATCTCTGCCTGCCCTCCCGTGGCTCCGTGGCACCCTGCATTGCCGTGGCCTGTCTCTGCCCACCCCCAGTGGCTCCATGGCACCCTGCATTGCTGTGGCCTGTCCCTGGCCCCCCATGGCTCCATGGCACCCTGCATTGCTGTGGCCTGTCTTTGCCTGCCCCCGTGGCTCCTTGGCACTCTGCAGTGCTGTGGCCTGTCTCTGCCTGCCCCCCATGACTCCATGGCACCCTGCACTGCTGTATTGCTGTGGCCTGTCCCTGGCCCCCTGTGGCTCCATGGCACCCTGCATTGCTGTGGCCCATCCCTGCCCGCTCCCCATGGCTCTATGGCACCCTGCATTGCTGTGGTACACTGGAGTGCTGTGGCCCATTTCTGGCCCCCTGTGGTTCAGTGACGCCCTGCTCTCGGCTCTTAGGAGAAGATGTGTGAGGAGTCGGCGTCCTTTGACTTGACTCCCCGTGATGTGGCTTCAGGCCTGGACGCCATTGACCAGGTGTTGGAAGAGCAGTCTAGGGTTGCACAACAGGGAGAGCTGCTGGCGGAGCTTGGCACCGACCCTGTGGGCTCAGGTGAGTTTGTGATCTCACCTGTTGAGGAACTTGGTTGGACATTTTTCTCTGCATATGCCACAGCTTGTCTCACTGCAGCGTGACTGTTCCTACAGCAGCTCGTAGCTGACAGTTTGAGTCACAGTGGCTCCGCTTCCTGTCCAGCTCCCTAACCGGCCTGGGGAGGCAGCAGGGAAGTGGGAGACATCGATGAAGCTGGTGGCTTCTGGCTTTGGCCTGGCTGAGCCCTGGCAGTTTTGGACGTTTGGGGAAGGAAGATCTCTTCATGTTACTTTCCCTCTCTCCCCTCTGTACCCTGAGCCTCTGGCGTAGAAACAGATAAATCTCTTAATATAGAAGTGCATGGCTCAGGCACCCAGCTCTGTCTGCTTGGAGCTGTGCTGCTAGCTGCATGCTTGCTCTCTTCTGCCCAGGGCTCAACATGGAGCTGGAAGACCTCGCTAAGCTCAAGAGTGAGTGCACCCACCCCTGCCTCCTGCCCCTGGAGAGGCTGCCCCTGACACTACATCATCCACAGTGATGTTGCTGCGCCTGGAAGGGGCCATAGACGCGGTGGAGCTGCCCGGAGACAACAGTGGTGTCACCAAGCCAGGCAGGTGAGGAAGGGGCAGTGTCCTGAGTCTGGAACGTGAGTGTACTGAGGTGAGGCAAGGCAGCGTCCTGAGGTGAGGCAGGGCAGTGTCCTGAGGTGAGGCAGGGCAGAGTCCTCTGAGTGTGGGCCGTGAGGAAGGGGCAGTGTCCTGTGTGGGGGTTGAGCAGGGCAGTGTCCCGAGGCCTTGGGGGTTGCTGGAGATGGGACATGGTTGGGCTGTCATGGGCTGCCTAGTCATGAGCCTCCCGCTCCACGTGGTGTCCAGTTGTCAGGGCTCAGTGGGCCTGCCAAGAGCTCCAGACTCTCCACTTCCTGTGGGGCCTCCTCCAATCCTGACCCTGACCCTAGCTCTGGACAGCAAGGCTCCATCCACCTGGGCCCCTGGGCCTGCCTACTCCAAACTTTGGGCCTGCTGGGGCTCCAGGCTCTTGCCCGGCCCCTCCTATCTGCCCCTTCCTCATACCCCCAAGGGCCCTCACCAAGCTCCTCCTCATCCAGACCTTGGCCTTGGCCTTGGGGCCCTCCCCTACAGCTCAGGCCCCTCCACCAGGCACACTACAGCTTTCTTTCCCCTGGCAGCTTTGTCTTTAAGCTCTTTGCTGAAGCCCAGATCACGTCTCAGACCAAGGACTGCATCCTGCACTCACTGGACCAGATCACCCAGCATTTGGCTGGACGTGAGTACCCGAGCCCCAAGGGCAGGGTGGCAGTCCACAGCCCTAGTCCCTGAGCCCTCCTGCCTGTGCCCCTGAGCCAGCACTGCTGCCGCTAGTTCCAGGGCCCCCTGGTGGGTGCTGTAAGAACAGTCAGACCCTGGACGGGACCCCCAGGCTGCTACCCTGGGAACGTGGTCCTGGAGTCTGGGCAGCCTGTGTTGTCGTGTGGCACGGGGCAGGGCTGGGCAGTGTGAGAGTGCCAAGGTCTTGCTGGCAGGGGTGCAGCATTGGCCTGTGTCCTCCAGGTGCCACAGCATTTACCAACACGGCTGGACTACAGAAACTTGCCGACATCATCCAGGTGGGTGGCTGCTCCTGATGCAGGCCCCAGGCCACTTGCCCCTGTCTGTCTCATTCCCTGTGTCCTGACTGCTGTGGACCTGGGGCTGGGGCAGGGGAGTGGCTGTCACCCCCAGCTTAGTGCTTCTGGGCCCCATAGGTGTGAGCACCAGGAGCTGCTCCTGCCCACCGTGGTGGGTGGGGCAGGACTGCACAAGGGACCATGGGAACTCCTCCTTAGCTACTTCCTGTGTCCTCCAACCAGTGTGACATCTGTGTGTGTGGATACGCAGAATTTTCTCTTCAAAGATTTATTTATTTAAAAAGCAAGTGTTAGAGATGGGATTGGGGGTGTGGGTAGATTTGTGTTTACTCCCCAAGTGATCACAACGGCCAGGGCTGGGCCAGGTGGGCCTGGTGGGGCTCCATCCTCTTCTGCATGAGAGGACCCCAGCCTTGGGCTGCCCTCCGCTGCTTTCCCAGAGGCAGTAGCAAGGAACTGGGTTGGAAGTGGAGCAGCTGGACTCCAGCTGGTGCTCTGGTGGGGGTGCTGGCGGCTTCACGGGCTGCACCACAGCCATCGTCTCCACTGGGACCTTAGAGGAACTTTGTGGGGCTGCTGTCCTGAAAGAGTGGGTGCACTGCTGCCCTCACTGCCAGTCACAGCAGAACCTGCAGGAGGGGCGCTCCACACGGCTATACGCAGAGCTGCACACCCGGCAAAGTCAAGGGCTCCTCCCTGAGCTCTGACCTGTGCATGGCAGCAGCTGAGCCTGGGCTGACCCTGGAAGCTCCTCCCTGAGGCAGGTCAGGTCAAGTGCTGAGCCTCACACGGAGCATTCTGCACAGGGACCTTCCCCCTAACCCAGTGCAGCTCTGGGCGGAGGAGGGAGGTCTGTGCCCTCAGCTGGAGGAGTACCTGTGGGCACGGCGCAGCCACTCTATGGGCACTACCCTCACAGAGCCAGGCAGGTTGTCCCAGAGCTCCCTAGAGTGCTCTCCAGGCTCACCTGAGTGTAGGCCCCCGAGCCTATCCCTCTCATCCCGGCTGTGGGATTTCCACTGGTGTCCGTGGTCAGTGCCCCAGCCAGGCTTTGGCCACTGGTGGCCTGGGCACGCACTTGCTCTCGCAGAGCTGCAGACAGCACAGCCTTGGACCCAGACCCAGGGGAGGTGAGGCTGGTCAGAGTGACCTGAGCTCATTGCAGATCTGGGTGGCAGAGGCTGTCTTCCTCTGCTGGTTCCTACATGTGCTCACCTGGGGGCCATCCCTTCTTCCCCCACAGCTGAGACTCCAGGCTAGTGCAGCTCCTACCCGGACTGCAGAGTGAAAACATCGATGTTGTGGGGCCCACAGGAATTCTGGAGTGCCCTGAAGCTCTGCTGAGGTCACAGAACCCTGGCCCCTCTAGGCAGCCAGTGGGTCTAGGGTGGCTAGGCCCAGAGCAAGAGGCAGGCTCTGCCCTGCTGGCTGTGTTAGATGGGGAATCTGAGGCCGACTGGAACAGGGCAAGTGGTCTGAGGGGCATGGGTCTGCAGGCTAGTATGTGTCAGTGCTGCTAGGAAGCTGATCTACCTGGAGCTGTTGGGGTGCTGGCCTGGGGCTCCTCACACAGGCAGGAGACCCCACAGAGGATAGCTACGGTATAGGCCAGTTGCTGGGGTGGACATGGGATCAGGACAGGTGTGTTTGGACCCAAGATACGGAACATGGGTGGAGTTACGGCACCCTTGTTGGGAGTACATCCTCATGAGTCCCTGAGAGATCGCCTGCACATGAAGGAAGCTTGGCTGAGCTGACAGGGATTCTGGTCTTCAGGGAAGCTGGCTACCTTTCAGGTTCATCCCTGTGGGCCCAGCCTGGCTGCACGCAGACGGTGCTGGGCAGTCATGACCATGGCTGCAGCTGGTAGTTCAGTCTGTGGTGCTCACGTAAACCACCAGGGACAGACATGGCCACCTCAGTGGGGTGGTATGAACGGCATGGTGTGGAGCAGTCTTCCTCTTGGAGCTGCCATGCCTGTTGTGGGTTCTAGCGCCAGACCTAATGGCCATGGGACTTACCCTCCTGCTGGGCCACAGGGTGCCATCTCCACTGTCCACAGGTATCCTGGGAGCCGTCTTTTTCTGCCTTTGCTTGCAGTGTCTGATACCTTCTATCCACTGGTTCACTCCCCAAATGGCTGTAACAGCTGCAGCAGAGCTGATCCAAAGCCAGGAGCCTCTTCCTAGTCTCCCACGCCAAGTGCAGAGTTCCAAGGCTTTGGACCATCCTCTGCTGCTTTCCCAGGCCATGAGCAAGGAGCTGGATAAGTGGAGCAGCTGGGACACGAACTGGCACCCATATGGGATCCCAGTGCTTGAAGGGGGAAGGTTAACCATAGCCATTGTGCCAGGCTGGGTACTGACCCTAAATCCTGGGACTGAGCAGCTGCTGTAGAGCAGTCCTCAAGTTGGCTTCCTCCAGGACTCTTCCTGCAGTTGGCTGAACTGCTGGGTTCATTGATAGGGGGTCAGTGGACAAGGAGTCCACATTTCCAGAGGGCTTGCTAAGAGGTAGGGACAGGCCTAGGGCTGAGCCTGTTCATACCCTGTACACTGTCTCCTTCCCTGAAGTGGGGGGGTGGGGGTGGACAGGCCTGGGGCTGTGTCCCTCCCTGTAGTGTGGGGGACAGACCTGGGGTTGAGCCACGTCATAATCCTGCACACTGTCTTCTTCCCTACAGTGTGGAGGCCAGGCCCTGGAGGCCCTCCAGCTCCTGACCATCACACTCATGCTGCCTTTCAGATTGTGTTCGATGTGGACACTCCCGAAGGTGGCCCTGGATCCCTGGAGGGCTCACAGTCCTATAAGGTAGAGGCCATGTCCAAGGTGTGGGAGCCTGGACTGGTTGGAGTCTTGAGCCCTGGCCTGTTGTATTTCCAGGTACACATCCACCCTGACAATGGTCCCCGAAAGATGGCTTCACGGGCAGACACCTGGACCACCACTGCATCCACAAAGCGAGGTACAGCTGGGCGGTGGGCCCTGCATCCTCACAGGCTGCTGCCCACACCCTCCCTTTGGCCGCGCCCTCCGTGGCCTCTGATCACTGGAGGTCTTGGGAGTGGTCAGCTGGGACAGGGCAGGGTCAGGGCCCATGCAGGCATGCATAACGTCTGGGACCAGGTTCACATCGAGCAGGTCAGCTGTCGTGCCCTGTTCCCCGGGCCTCCAACCCTGTGACCTACAACCCCTTGTGAGTTCAGGCCCAAATCCCCTTGTTATGGGTCTGGTTTCAGTCTGGCCTTATAGCCAGCCCTGCCCCCACACACCATCACTCCTGGCTCCTGTCCCCTGGGTGTCCTGCTGCTCTCCAGCCCTGCCTCAGGAGCTGAGCTTTGCACCTGGACTCTGTCCGCCCTACCTTTCTCTCAGGTGGTGTGGCCTCCACAGGAACTGCCTCAGGAGCCGAGCGAGGAGGGCAAAGGGCCACAGGAGCCAGCTGTGTGGCTGCAAATCTGACCCTGCCTGGCGGCATGGCCTCCCCTGGGTGCCTTTGAGGGAGGCCATCAGTGCTTGGGGCAGAGAGGCACTGGGCCTGATGGGTGTGGGTACCCTTTGTACCATGCACCTCCGGCCACATGACTTTAGCAATGGCCTCACCCTGGCAAGTCGTCGATGGGAAATGGGCAGTGTCAGGACTGGGATGGGATGGATGAGGCTTCCTTTCATGTCCAGTGAGCGTGGCTTGTGTGGGAAGCAAGTGCTGTCCTGTTGACCCTGTACTTGTTCTGTCTGGGAGCTTCCAGATGCTCTCCCTTGCTGGAAACGCGCTGGGTCCTGCAGGGTCAGGAGGTCAGGCATCGCTTTTTTCCAGCACTCCCCCCCGCCAGAGGCCCTGGGTCAGCTGTGTGGGGGTTCTTCCTGCACTGCCCCACCAGAGGCCCTGGGGTCAGCTGTGCGGGGTCCCGGTGCCATCACTGCCCTTGGTCCTGCAGGTAAAGTCCTCAGCTACTGGTGCTTCAGCCCCGGCCACAGCATGCGCGAGCTGCTCCGCCAGGGCGTGCGCAGCCTCATCCTCACCAGCGGCACCCTGGCCCCTCTCTCATCCTTCACCCTGGAAATGCAGATGTATGGGACCTAGAGGGCTCAGGGACATGAGGGGTGCTGGAGCCTCAGGGTCCCCATGAGCCCTAGGCTTGCAATCGCCCACACTCTACTTCCTGTGCCCAGCCCCTTCCCAGTCTGCCTGGAAAACCCGCATGTGATCGACAAGCACCAGATCTGGGTGGGGGTCGTCCCCAGAGGTCCCGATGGGGTTCAGCTGAGCTCTGCGTTTGAGAAGCGGTGAGACCTGGGGGTGGCTGGGCCAGGTTGGGCCGCGAAGGCTCGGTCTTGGCCTTCCTGGGGACCCAGGGGCTGGCTGGGCCCTGAGCATGGTTGTGGGCTCTGCAGGTTTTCCGAGGAGTATCTGTCCTCCCTGGGGAAAGCTCTGAGTAAGTAACCCCAGCCCATTCCCACTCGCAAAAGTCTGCTGGGTGCCCAGCCCCTGCTTGACCCCCGTTCCGTGCCTGCAGCCAACATCGCCCGTGTGGTGCCACACGGACTCCTGGTCTTCTTCCCTTCCTATCCCGTCATGGAGAGAAGCCTGGAGTTCTGGCGGGTGCGTTCTCTGGCCTGTGCACCCCGGGGTGGGAGGAGCCCCATGGTGGCCACCAACACCTGCATCCTGATCACCTGTTCCTCAGGCCCGGGACTTGGCTCGGAAAGTGGAAGCGCTAAAGCCCCTGTTTGTGGAGCCAAGGAACAAGGACAGCTTCACAGAGGTCAGCATCTTCCACAGGCTGGGGGACTGGGGGGCAGGCCAGGAACCCCCCGGTGCGTGGCTGCTGGGGGACTGGGGGGCAGGCCAGGAGCCACCTGGTGCATGGCTGCAGTGCTCACTGCTCCCTGGGGAGAGGCTGGGCTCTGGCCGGCACTGAGTCACTCTGCTCCCAGGTGATTGACGCTTACTACAAGCAAGTGTCCCGGGGCCCCAGCGGGGCTGCTTTCTTGGCTGTGTGCCGGGGCAAGGTAAAGCCCAGGGTTATCTCACACCCACTCTTGTCACCTAGGCAGTGGGCAAGGAGAGCATGCCCGAGACCACCGGTGCTCTGATTGGGTGCAAGCAGCAGTTGTCCTGGGAGCTGGGGGAGTGGTGGGGAGGGTCCTGCCTACAGAGACCTTGGAGAAGGTTCCTCGTGCTCCAGGCAGCTTCCTGGCTTTGTGCTCTAGGCCAGCGAGGGGTTGGATTTCTCGGACACAAACGGCCGTGGTGTGATGGTTACTGGCCTCCCGTATCCCCCACGCATGGACCCCCGTGTTATCCTCAAGATGCAATTCCTGGATGAGATGAAGGCCCAGAGTGGGGCTGGGGACCAGGTGAGGTGGGTGGGGCCAAGGGGTTGGGGTAGGGTGTTGGGAGGTGAGTGGGGCCCCTGACCTTCCTTTCTCTCGTCCTGTAGTTCCTCTCTGGGCAAGAGTGGTACCGACTGCAGGCGTCCAGGGCTGTGAACCAGGCCATTGGCCGGGTGATCCGGCACCGCCACGACTATGGGGCTGTCTTCCTGTGTGACCACAGGTGTGCAGCAAGGGGCTTCGCAGGGTCACCCCGTGAACTAGGGGACCTGAACCCAACATGTGGGACTGACAGCCTCATCACCCCAGGTTTGCCCACGCTGATGCCAGGGCCCAGCTGCCCTCCTGGGTGCGCCCCAGCGTCAAGGTGTACGACAACTTTGGCCATGTGGTTCGCGACGTAGCCCAGTTCTTCCGGGTTGCTCAGAGAACTGTGAGCCCTGGGTATTCCCACTGTGCCTCATGTGCCCCAGGGCGGGTTTCTTCCTCCAGAAGCTGCACAAACTCCCATCTCCCTGTGGTCTGCAGATGCTGGTTCCTGTACCCCAGGCTCTGGTTCCCAGAGCTGAGGAGGAGAGAAGCACTGCCCAAGATGCCTTGGTGCTGGGGCCCATGCTGTCCATCAGGAAGGCCAAGAGTCTAGACGTGCACGTCCCCAGCCTGCAACACAGGCCCTCGGGTGTGTTGCTGGTGGGGGCTGTGCTAGCTGGGGTGGTCATACGTCCTGCAGCTAGACACTCATCCCGTGCACCGTGTTCTCTGCCGCACCCACAGGGCCAGCCAGCGACCCAGAGAGCAGCCTGTGTGTGGAGTACGAGGAAGAGCCTGGTTCAGGCCCTCGGCGGCCAGCGGGATTGCTGGCCGCCCTAGAACACAGTGAGCAGGCTGCGAGGCCTATGGACGAGGCCTCCCCCAGGAAGGGGCAGGTGCCAGCTGGGGTTTGGGTATGGATATGGGCCCCCTGCCCTCTGCACCCCTGCAGCTGAGACCTGGGCTCAGGGCTCCCTCCTGCAGGCTTCCCTTGGTCACCAGGACCCCCTGAGGTATGGTCAGGACTCTGGCTCTGTCCCCTCAGGCCCCTGGCTCCACCTTGACCCTGCCGTGTGAAAAGAGACTGGCTGAGCGGCAGAGAGGAGGCAGGAAGAGAATCAGGCTGGTCCGGGCCCCGGTAGGCAGCCAGTGCCCAGTGTGGGCACATGTGTACCTGTACCTGCTGGGGCAGCTGAGGCAGCCTGCAGAGCCCAGCATGGCTGTCTTGAGTGGAGTCAGGGTGGACAGCCTTCCCATCCACTCTAACTCTGACCCCCCACCTCGGCTGGCCCTGCTGGGGTTGGGCTGTGTCTGCAGGAGGAGCCAGCTCTGGGTGCCCAGGTGCAGCGGGCGAAGCTGTTCATGGGTGCAGTGCGGCGGGCACTGAGCCAGGCCGACTTCACCACCTTCACCCAGGCCCTGCAGCACTACAAGGACTCCGATGACTTCACAGCCCTTACAGCCTGCCTCAGCCCGATTTTCACCCGGGACCCTGCCAGCCACAGCCTACTCCAAGGTGCCCCATGCACAGGCTCGGCGTGGAGCACTTCCTGGATCCCCAGTCCCTAGCCATGCGCAAGAGCCCCAGGCTCAGACCCCATCTCCACACAGGCTTCTACCAGTTCGTGCGTCCCCATCACAAGCAACAGTTTGAGGAATTCTGTTTTCGGCTCACTGGCCAAGGCTGTAGCCTTCCCTGCAGGCAGCAGGCACAACCAGTCCCAGGCCCTACTGGTGAGTGGGGTTCCCAGACTGGACAGAGTGACCCCCTTCTCCAGGTGGGGTGGGAGTGTCCCACAGGGCTGTTCCCGGGGCAAGGCTGCGGAGCCTGCCAGGGTTGGGTGCCCAGGTAGGCTCCTGAGCAAGGCTGTGGCTGGGAGGACTCTCTGATGTCCCTTTGAGTGGTGGCACTTCTTCAGGAGGGAGAGAGCCCGAGTGCAGGCTGACCGTGTCCGAGGGTGCGCTGAAACAGCTAGATGCCGGAGAGCACCTGAACCATGGGGGACCCCACCTGTCCAGCAGGCCACTCTCTGCAGGTATGACACCCCAGCAGATTCAGCACCCCAGTCCGGTGGTAGGGTTTGGGTGGGGAGGGACTGCCCAGCCGTCCTGTCCCTTGCCAGAAGGTCCCGACTACTGTCCACGTGTGGGACATGGAGCAGAGAGGGGTGCGTCTGTGGCCAGTGCCTACCTGGCAGATGCCCGCCGGGCCCTGGGCCCTGACGCCTGCAGCCAGCTCCTGGCAGCCCTGAAGGCCTACAAACAGGATGACAACTTTGACAAGCTGCTGGCTATGCTGGCTGCGCTGACCACAGCGAGGTCTGAGGACTTCTCCCTCCTACAAAGCAAGTAGCCACAGGGTGGGGAACAGGTGGGTGGTACTGAAGCTGGCCAGGCCTAAGCAGAGCTGCCCACAGGGTTCGGAATCTTCGTGCGCCCTCACCACAAGCAGCGCTTCCTGCAGACCTGTGCAGACCTCACAGGGCTCCCCAAGCTTGGTGAGGCAGCTGGCCCCCAGCCCCCTCAGTCATGTCCAGGCCCCTCAAAGGCAGAGAGGCCCGAAAAAGCTCAGAGCAAGATCTCATCCTTCCTCAAGCAGAAGCCTGTAGACCCAGCAAAGGCCCCTGCAAGGCCTCCTGGGCAAGTGCAGGGTGAGTGGAAGACCCCTTGGGAGGGGCTGTAGGCACTGCTGGAAAGGATTAGAGCCCTCACTACCCCCTGTAGGAGGCTGCGTGTGCCAGGGCTGTGGGGCAGAGGACTCAGTACCCTTCCAGTGCCCCAGCTGCGACTTCCAGCGCTGCCAGGCCTGCTGGCAAGGGTGCCTCCAGGTGGGTGTGCAGCCCTGCAGGCTACCCCCAGGGTAGGGTGGTGCCGAGGGCAGAGCAGTGATCTGCAGGTGTCCCCAGGTCTCCAGGACATGCCCATCCTGCGGGACTGCCGTCAGGAAGCAGAGCCTCACACAGGTCTTCTGGCCGGAGCCCAGCTGAGTGCCTTGGAGGCCGCACTGGCTGCAGCTGACCTCTCACAGTCCAGGAGCCAGCCAGCAGAGGTCCTTGCCAAATCCATCATAGGTCTTGGGCAGGCAGGGGCCTGGGGGCTGGGGCCCTGCTCTCCAATAAAGCTATGGGTAGTGTCTAGCACCTGTTGGTGTGACCTGTGGTGGTGTCAGCCTAGGAGCCCTCTCCCAGCTGGCTGCATTCCCATGCCAGCACCCCGGTCGCACACTAGCCAGAAGTGGGGAACTCCTGCCAACCTTGCCTTCAGTTAGGGCCACACCATTCAGAAATTCCTGCTGGTTGCCTATATGGCTACCAACTGCACTGGCGTGGACTCACCTACTTGCAGCAGGACATGGAGACACATGAATAGCTGGTGTGCACCCAGAGACCCTCACAGGGCGTACAAGAAAGCACACCTGCCACAACCATGCCTGCGGCAAGCAGTCTTCCTAACACGCCCCACTCCCCATGCTCCAACTCCCTGCCAGGCTCTCCCTGGTATCTTGGTCAGCAGAGCTGACCCCACAACTGTATGGCCCTGTGTACCTGCTGGACTGGGCAGCCAGATGCAGGCACATAGGTGTCAGCTGCTGGCATTTCCTCCAGACCCATGCAGAGGCTCTCTACCCACCCTGCCTGGAGTGCAGCCACTTCTCCCATCTGCTTATTTCTGTTTTCCAAGATTGATTTGAGGATCGGCGTTGTGCCATAGCAACTCAGACTACCACCTGCAGCATTGGCTGCCCACATGAGTGCTCCATTCACAGCCCAATTCCCTCCCAGCAGCCCAGGGCTGCAGCAGCAGATGGCTGGAGACTTTGGCTGCCACTGCCAACCTGGCCCAATTCTGGCCATTGCTGCTGAGGAGTAAACCAGTGGAATATCTGCCTGGCTCTTCAACTTCTTCAGAGAGTTAAAGCTATTTGAGAGGCAGAGAATGTCCATGGCAATTCACTCGCCAGACAGTCACAGAACTCCACAGTACTTGGGCTGGGAGTGGAGCAGTTAGGGCTCTACCAGGAGGCCAGTGGGACCAGGACTAGCTCATATCTCCAACCTGCCCCCACCCAGTCCAATCCTGCTTTCCTGCCCAGCATGTGGGGTTGGCAAGTCCTCTGGTGGACTCACCCCAGTCTGTCCAAGGCTTCCCATGCTGGGCCTGACTCCCCCACCTGTGACCAAGGAGCACATCCACCTAGGCTTGCTCAAACAGCTGCAGGTGGCACTGGTGGGTTATGTGCTACATGGGGCTCAAGATAGGAGTTGGGGTATGCATGGTTTAGTTGCTGGGGGCGGCCAAGCTGCCCCAGGAAGAACAGCACCTCAGCGCCCACTTCTCCCCGAGCTCTGGCCTCTTAGGGTTTGGTAGACTGGATGCCGAGAGCCCCCATCCTGCTATCAGTGGTTATGGGGTGGTCAGGGACCAGGACTTCCTCAGCCCCACACCAGGGCACATCCATCATGCCCCTGGGGGAGACATGTCTCCTTTGGTGGCCCCTGCAGAAGCAGCTGCACCCTTTCCCCAAAGAACAGCCCCAGGATGCCAGGGCCGGAGACTAGAGCCTGGACAGACTTTATTCTGAATAGTCTGCAGGGGGGCACTGTGGGCAGTCGCGGACACACCTGGAGGGCCTCAGGCCTTGTCCCAACAGGCCAGTCCAAGCTGTCCCTCCAGGCACGACCTGAGCTGGCCTCACCAGGGGAGCCGGTGAGTGGAATGGACTCCTGTCTGAGGCCGTGAGGGCTGTGATCATGGCAGGTCCAGTCACCAGTCCACCTGCAGGACCAAGGAGCCTCTGCTGCTCTGGCCAGCCGCCGCCCAGCACACCCTGGGGCCCAGAGCCGTGGTATCTGTGCTGTTCCAGACAGAGTTTGTCTTAGAGCAAATGGGGCAGACACAGGGAAAGGCAGGCCCAGCCAGGGGTGACGGCATGTCCGTGACGTGGGGTGCTGCAGCTACGTGATGTCCCTCTGCCGTGGCGGCCGGTGGATGTTCCGCACGACGCACTTCACCATCCACTCGATGCCCTCACGTACCCCTTTGCTGCGGACACGGGGTGGGGAGGTGAGGCGGCAGGCAGGCCATGGGGCAGAGGCTCCCTCCGCCATGATGCCCGCTTACCCAGTGAGGGCAGAACAGGCCTGGGTCAGGCAGTCCCGCCGACCGATCTTGCAGGTGCAGTCACTTAGTGCAGTCTTGATATCAGGGATGGAGAGGCATGGCTGGGGGAGGAGAGGCCGTGAGCAGCAGCACGCCTCTCCCCTGCACACACGTGACACACACAGATGTGGGCAACGGGGAGAGCAGCAAGGGGCAGCCGACTGCAGCTGTGTCCCCAGGACCCCCACGACTGCCTGCCTCAGGCACCCAGGGTGTTGGTGTGGACTCACCTCCACATCTTGCTTGTTAGCCAGCACCAGCACAGGGACCCCTTCCAGTGCCTCGCTCGTGACCACTTTCTCTACGGAGGAAAGAGGTAGCACCTGGTACCCTGTGTCCACCCAGAGGCCAGCCGCTGTGCCCAGGGTGGCCTGTTGCTGGCCCCAGCGAGGTTTGAGCGATGCAGCCCTTGGCAGGGAGCGCCCCCTCCTTCAAGCCAGCTCAGGACATGTGGTGTTCACCTCAGGGGGTGCGGCCACTCACCAAACGCCTGCTTGGACTCGGGCAGCCTCTCCTCATCGGTGGAGTCAATGACATAGATGACGCCGTGACACTCGGCATAGTACTGTAGAAAGCAGGAGCCTGGGGTTGGAGCCGCAGCCCTGCCCTGAGCCACAGGGTGCTGATGGGTCCAGGAGCCCCTGCCGGGCTGGGCACCAACCTGCCCGGGGAGAATGGCTACAACCTGACAGGCTGGCACTGCCCATGCCCTCTGTAGGCCGGTGTGGCCAGCTCTGGGCTAAGGACAAGACAGGGTCAGACTACCTGGGACCCCCACACCCAGGCCTGGGCAGGGCTGGCCAGTGTCCACACAAGAGTCACCATGTGGGAGTGAGGATGGGTGAAGACCCCCTTCCCATTCCTCGTTGATCCCGGCAGACTTGGGCTGCCCCACTCTGGGCTCACAGGCCAATACCAGGTGGGCCCCCAACCCCTTCACGTTCCTGTGGGAGGACCCTGCACCCAAGGCAGAGGCATGGTCCAGGCAAGTGTCACAGCCTCCGTCTAGGAATACAGTGGATGGCCTCCTAGATGCCCATCACATCTGCCCTCTCTTGGCCTGTTAGGCAGCAGCGTGGGGCCAGCTAGCTGAGCCCAGGCCCCATAGCTGAGGTCCCATGCTGTGGACAGCCCGGCCACCACATCCTTCAGCCCATCCAGGCGGCCCTGTGCTGCCGACAGTGCCATGTGACGTAGGGCAGCCCTAGGAATGGGTCTGGTTGAGACACAAGGGGCACAGCTAGAAGCTGAGCTGCACCTCACCTTGTCCCACAGCGACTGCAGCTCCTCCTGTCCCCCGAGGTCCCAGAACATGAGGCGCGTCTTTCCCACGTCCACGGTGCCGACTGCAGGGCAGAGCAGGACATGTCCAGGAGCCCAGGAGCGCCGCCCGCCCGCCCGCCCCGGCCCTTACGCACTGTTGAGGCCCACGGTAGTGGTGATCTTGGCCAGGCTCATCCCCTTGTAGTTCTTGCTGAACCGGGTCTTGGACTGTTCCAGGAAGGTCTGGGGACATTGGGCAGGCTCAGACCGCGGGCGGGGCGCGTCCCGGGGACCGCGATCGGTGGTCATCATCTAACACCACCTACCGTCTTCCCGGCGTTGTCCAGGCCCAGGATGAGGATGCAGTACTCGTCCTTCTGGAACATGTACTTGTACAGGCCGGACAGCAGCGTGTACATCCTGCGGTGGACACCCGCCCGTCGCGGGGCTCTCCTGCGCCGGTCACCGGCCGCTCGCAGGCGGAGGGCCCCGCGCCCCGCGCCGCCGGGGTCTTCCTGCTGACCCGGCGCTGACCTCGCGCGGCGCGGCACCGGACCCGTCCCGGCGGCCCCCGCGCGCCAGGCAGTTCCGGCGGAAGTACGGTGGGGCGGCGAGGCAGGCGGAAGGATCGGGGCGGCGCCGGTTCGCGGCCCGGGGGCGGCGGGATGGACGCGCCGGGCCTCCAGGCCGCGCTGCAGGCGTCCCGCGCGCAGCTACAGCAGGTGGAGCGGGCGCTGGGCGCCGCGGACCCCGCGGAGCGGGCCGACCTGCTCCGGCTGCGCGCGGACCTGCAGGAGCTGACCGCGCTGACCGAGGCGGCGCTGACCGAGGCCGGGCTGGGCGAGGCCGGACAGACCGATACCGAGCTCGCCGAGCCGGGGCAGACCCAGGCCGCGGTCACCGAGCCCGGGCGCGGGGCCAAGGTGAGCGCGCCCTTCCCCGGCACCGGAGGCCTGCCCGAGTACCACAACGCCATGGTGGTGAGCGCCGAGGCGGCGTGCGTGCGGGTGCTGTGCCTGTGCCCGACCCGCGCTGCGCTCAGGCCCTGCCCGTTCTACCTGGAGAACAGGTGCCGGTTCCAGGACAAGTGCAGGTAAGACGGCGGAGTGGGGTGGGGAGGACATGGGGAGCGCTCCGTTCACTCGGGTCTGCGTGCAGGTGCAGGGGGCCGGCACTTGAGCCCCATGGAGTGTTGCAGGAGCCGGCGCCCACCTGGGATGCCTGCTCCTCTGGCTAGGGAAGCTTGGCCCGCTGGGCACGGGCATGGTCATAAGGTCAGGGTCCTGCGTGGAGGGCCTCTGACGGGGTCTGGGGTGGGAGGCGCCATGGAGGTTCGGTTCTGGGCTGCTGCAGGCTGAGGCTGTTCGTCGCCAAGAGTTTTGTCTCTGCGGCTGTGTTATTTTGAGAATTCTTGGACAATAACAGGATTTCCTACAAATCTGATGCTTTGGTACACGGTGCTTATTCCGTTTGGATGCTATGCTTTCTCTCTCCTTCAGGTTTGCCCAACCCCCTTCCTGGCCAGGCCGTTCCTTTCTGGAGCTCCCACCTGTCACTGCAGGTGCCGCCTGTCTCCTGGAGGGAATTCCCACCTGTCACTGCAGGTGCCGCCTGTCTCCTGGAGGGAATTCCCACCTGTCACTGCAGGTGCCGCCTGTCTCCTGGAGGGAATTCCCACCTGTCACTGCAGGTGCCGCCTGTCTCCTGGAGGGAATTCCCACCTGTCACTGCAGGTGCCGCCTGTCTCCTGGAGGGAGCTCCCACCTGTCACTGCAGGTGCCGCCTGTCTCCTGGAGGGAATTCCCACCTGTCACTGCAGGTGCCGCCTGTCTCCTGGAGGGAGCTCCCACCTGTCACTGCAGGTGCCGCCTGTCTCCTGGAGGGAGCTCCCACCTGTCACTGCAGGTGCCACCTGTCTCCAGGAGCGGTGTACCTGTTCCTGCTTCTCCCTTCCTCCCCCTTCCCATTTGAAATGCAGAGAAAGGAGAGAGCTCTCTACTGGTCAACTTCCAGTGTCTCTGGCAGTCAGAATTGTGCCCCGCCTTGGCCAGGAGCCTGCTGGGCATTTGAGGCTGTGTAGCAGCAGGAAGTTGGAACAGGGAGGCTGGCTTCCAAGAAGCCCTACTTTGCCCTGTGCCCACTGCAGCATCCACTTCTGGAAGATCCCACTTTTTGAGCCATTGTCATGTTGTCATCTGGAGTTTGAGTTATACGGTGTCTGGCCTCCTAAGCCAGGCTCTGCTACCGTCCCCTGTGCAGTACGTGTGGCCCTCTCTGCAGCCCCAGAGCCCTAGCTCGCCAGTGTCAGGAACACCCCCGGTCCCTTCCCCCACCCAGAACTGAGCCCACTGTGCTCTCAGCTCTGGTCTATTCCAGAGCAGCTAATTGTTTAGTTCAGCTGTGTCTGTGGGGACGCTGCCCAGCCTGTCCTGGGCCACAGTGGGAACTGGGTGACTTTAAACCCATGTCAGTGCCACAGCTGGTAAAACCACCTGTGACGGTGTTCCATGTGGTCACCTTTTTGTGCCCCAGCAGCTCCCCGCTAATGTGTCTGGGAGGGCAATGGGTGACAGCCCAGTACCTGGACCCAGCCCCTGCGTGGGTAACTGGCTCCTCACAGCCTGGCATCGTGGAGTGAGCCAGCAGGTAGAAGAGCTGTTGGGTCACTCCTTGTGTCACCTTTGCAAATGTCCTGGGTGGTTTTTCATACTTGTGTTTTCCATGAACAAGACCCTCCAGGTGTGGTGACTGGGCAGTGGCAAGCGTTTAGGAAGCTGTAGGTGGAAATGTCCCAGCCACACCTGACCTTGGGCATTCAGGACTGGGGTGCCTCTCTATCCGGTTCTTGGGGTATTTCGGCGAATCACCAACAGGTGCAGCAGCCCAGCCGCAGTGCCCACAGAGGCTGATGCCAGCAGTCCTGCAGCTCTACTGGCAGCCCTCAGATGACCCTGCCCTCACTGCCCATGCATCTCTCGGCAGGTTCTCCCACGGGGAGGTGGTCCCTCTTGATGAGCTGCGTCCCTTCCAGGAGCCCGACCTCAGCTCGCTGCAGGCTGGCTCTGCGTGTCTGGCCAAGCACCAGGATGGGCTCTGGCACCCGGCACACATCACTGGTAAGGCCCTCCCTAGTGGCCCTCAGCCTGGGGCCCTGCTCCCCGCTCCCAGCCACTGACCCTGCCATCTGTCTCTTTCCAGACATGGACAGCGGTTACTACACGGTCAAGTTTGACTCGCTGCTGCTAAAGGAGGCGGTGGTGGAAGGAGACAGCATTTTGCCCCCATTGCACCCAGCGGCTGAAGAGTCCTCCAGCTCAGACAGCAGTGACACTGACAGCGACGGGGGTTCCAGCTATGCCCGAGGTATAGCCACAGCCCACAGGATTCCCAACTGAGGGGCAGTGGGAGCAGGGGGCCGATTGCACCCTCGTGGGAGGGGTTACTCCTTAGGTCCAGAGCCAGCTTTCGGGGAATATCCCAGGGCCTGTGCACAAGGAAGTGCCAAAGCCCTGGGGTGTGGGGAAGGTGGGAGTCAGGCTGGGTTGTGGTGATGGGGCTCGATGAGGGGCGTATGAGGCCATCACAGCCTGAGTGGCCAACTGGGCTGGCCTGTTGCCTCACTCCCCTGTCTCCGCAGTGGTGGAGCCGAACGCCGTGGGTGCTGGGACCTGCAGTTCTGCCTTTGCTGGCTGGGAGGCCCACACACGGGGCATCGGCTCCAAGCTCCTGGCCAAGATGGGCTATGTGCTTGGCAAGGGTGAGCAAAAGCTGTCCGGATTGGTGTGGGGGTGGGGGCTGGGGACCCGGCACAGTCCTGGGGTCCCTCAGCACCACAGTTGGCCCATGTCTCCCCAGGCCTGGGCCGGAACCTGGAGGGCAGGGTGGAACCTGTCCAGGCTGTGGTGTTGCCTCGTGGGAAGTCGCTGGACCAGTGTGCCGAAATCCTGCAGAAGAAGGGCCGGCAGGACGGGGCGGGTGCTGCCAGGGCCCCGCGGGGCCGGCGGCGAGGGTCCGGGCCTGGGGGCCGCCTGCCACCCCGCAGCATCTTTGACTTCCTGAATGAGAAGCTACAGGGTCAGGCCCCTGTGGCCTCACAGGCTGAGGTGGTCCCGTCCACGCAGAGGGGCAAGGACATGTACCACGCCAGCAAGAGCGCCAAGCAAGCCCTGAGCCTGCGGCTCTTCCAGACTGAAGAGCAGATCGAGCGGACCCAGCGAGACATCCGCAGCATCCAAGAGGCCCTGGCCCGCAACGCTGGCCGGTAGGTGGCCGAGGACACCTGCTGGGGGGCGGCAGGGTGGAAGTGCACCCTGCTGATGGCCCCCCTCGGTGCAGGGCAGCTGCGGCCCAGCTGGAGGAAAAGCTGGCAGGAGCCCAGCGGCAGCTGGGGCAGCTCCGGGCCCAGGAGGCTGGCCTGCAACGGGAGCAGAAGAAGGCCGACACCCACAAGAAGATGACGGAGTTTTAGTGACCCCAGGCCACAAGCACGGCCCCAGGAGCCAGCCAGGTTGTGCAGCCACTTGGGCTGTCATGGACACTAAGAAAGATCTACCCTACCCTGCTTGGCCCTACTCCAGTCTCGGTGGCCTGTGGAATGGACATGGGGCTGGACGGTGGCTTCTGGACACTGTCCCCCACTCGTGTCTTGGGCATTTCCTCAGTGAGGACATTAAAGTGGTTTCATCATGTCTTTTGAGGCTCGGCCAGCTGTAGGCTCTCTGGGGGGAGGGGTTCTCCCTCACCTTCTGTTTGGGATGGCAAGCAGGTGGACCGAAGCCGGGCTCTGGCCACCAGAGCCTGCTGAGTGTCCTTCCCACCCCCATTGGATATGAGGCCAGCGGGCTCGTGGCACCTAGAGCCAGGTGGGGTCCCAGGTGGGTGCTGTGCTGAGGGCTCCCCAGAAGGGGTGAGGAGGAGCGGCTGGTACTGCCCAGGTGAGTCCCTGTTCTGCCCTCCAGCTGGTGAGCCCTGCCCTCTCCGGTGACCTCCCAACCCCAGGGCGGGGGCGGCTGTCATTGAGGTCTGGGCTGTGGGGCCTGGCTGCTCTGTTACTAGGGCCAGCCTGGCAGAACACAGCACACCAGGAACCCTCGCCTGGCAGGCCAGTGGGCGCATCTGGCAGGGCGGGGCTGGAGCTTCCTGTGTGCTGAGTCGGCAGGGGTGCAGAGGTGCCTGGCCCCAGTGCCCTCTCTTCTGCCTCCAGGCTCCCAGCTGCAGGGGCTGGGCAGTAAGTGGCCTCCACAGTCCCCACTCTCTGGCTCCTGGGCGGCTTCTTCCTGCTCTTCCCACTACAGGTAAGCCCGCGCAGCTTGCTGATACACCCAGGCCTCTCCACAGCCCACCACCCTGCCCTGCTGTAATGGTTCCAGTCTCCAGGAGGCGGTGAGTGCCGGGCTGTCCCTGGGGCCAGGACAAGCCAGGCAGGGGACAAGGATCTGGCTGCCTATCCAGCAGGCGCTGCTTACCAGGGGCCACTGCTCAAGCCACTCAGATGCCAGCCTACACTGGCTGCACAGCAGAAGTGAGCAACATGAGTCTGGCCCCAGGCCTACCAGCCCCCCTGCACCCCCTGTGACTTCTCTGACCCCCCCTCAGACCTATAGCCTGCCAGCCTGGGCCTCCTACACCCACACCTGCCTGAGGCATCCAGGGCAGCGCCAGGCCACAGGCAGCTCGCCTCCTCTGCTTTCCCACTCTGCCCATCACGCCGTTCACTGGCCCATGGGATACCTACTCCACCTTGGGGCTGGCCATGGTCCTGTGGGCCAGCCTGATGCTGCCAAGCCTGGAAGTGGCCGAGTATGCCTGCACCAGGCCCAGGACAAACTGAACTCCCAGGCAGGCCCCAGCAGCTGAGGTAGAGGGGGTGTGCAGGAGAGGGTGTTGGACTGGACCTCAACAGGTGGGTAGCAGCCCCTGAATGTAACCTCCTGCAGGTGGGCTTCTGTACCCCAAGTCAGCCAGCTCTGGAGGGACCCCGCAGGTAGGGCAGTGAGCACGCCCTGGAGCACATATGTGAGCAAGGGAATTGGAGAGGCGTGCACAGCTGTGGGGCCCACAGTCCCCAGCCCTTTCCTGCAGGGGAGGCCCTGCCAATAAATCCTGATGCCACAGTGACTCTTCCCTTCCTCCATGTGTGAGAAGCCTTGGGGGCTGGAACTTGGACCTTGGTGGATTCTGGGCTGCAGGACAGAAGGGGGAGTGGGCACCACGTGCTAACCTGCCTGGCAAACAGCTCCTTTCCAGCCTGGGCAGATCCGGGTGGGGGAGGGCTTGGGTGACCATTGGATCCAGGGCTGGGATTCACCACTGAGGGTGTGGCTACTGGTCCTGTGTGTCTTTGGGCCCAGTGGCACAAGGCTAAGCACTTCATTTTTCTTTTTTTTGTTTTAAGTTTATTTTATTTTTATTGGAAAGTCATATACAGAGAGGAGGGAGAAACAGAGAGGAAGATCTTCCATCCATTGATTCACTGCTTAAGTGGCTGCAACGGCCAGAGCTGCACTGATCTGAAGCCAGGAGCCTCTTCCAGGTCTCCCATGTGGGTTCAGGGTCCCCAGGCTTTGGGCCGTCCTCCACTGCTTTCCCAGGCCACAGGCAGGGAGCTGGGTGGAAAGTGGGGCCACTAGGATTAGAACCGGCACTCATGAGATCCCAGTGTGTGCAAGATGAGGACTTTACCTGCTAGTCTACTGTGCTGGGCCCAGTTCAGTGCTTCTTAAGCTGAGTCCCCTGTGTGGGTATGACTCGGCCATATGGAGTGGATGGTGCTGCTGGAGCCAAGGTGCAGGGCTCTGGACACTGGCCACCACCCCAGAGTGCGTGCAGCAGGGGTTGCTGGGAGGACCCTCTGTCAGAAGTCCAAAGGAGGATTCGCAGGGAGCCCAGGTGGGGTTTTACCCCGTCGCAGCTCGCTAGCCTAGAGTGTACATGTGCAGGGCAACCCCGCAGCCCAGCCCTGGGAACTGGGTCATTCCCCGGGCCCCGGCTGCTCCTGACAGCTGTGGGCTTGGCCATCTGAGTCAGAGATAGAGCCTGGGTCAGGCTGGTGTGTGCATGTGGGCCATGTGCCCTGGGGAGGGCCCGGCAGAGGTCACAGCCTTCACGGCCTTAGTTCCCAGGTCTGGGGGATGCTTAGGCTGACTGGTGGCCTTGCTCACCTGGAAATCCAGCTGGGGTCCTAAGCCTGGCTGGCCCAGTGGATGGGCTGAATGCTCTGTGGCCCCAGGATGGGCTCTCCCAGGAGGCCCTCTGGGAATAGGTGACAGCACAGATAGGGGCTGGCCAAGGCCTCTTCCCAGGGAGGGTGTCAAGGCCTAGCCAGGCTTGGAGCCCTAAACAGACGCCTTGCCTGAGCACCGGGCATGGCTGCAGCAGCCGGCACCTCCTTCCCCCGAGGCCGCCTATCCTAAGGAAGACGAAGGTGAGCTTATGGGAAGGCCTGGGTTTGAGGGGTTCTGGGTGTGGCTGACATTGTCCCTGACTGTTCTGGATGCTGAGCATGGCAGCTGCCCAGAGTGCCTGGCTGGAGCCAACCAGGAGGGGGCGCTCGCAGGCCTTGTATCACCCAGATGGGCTGGCTCCCAGCACCAGGCAGGCCCGGCCCAGAATATAGGTGAGCAGGACACGGGCCAGCCTGACTGGCAGTCGCACTGCATACAGCCCACCCACCCAGGGCTGCCCTGCCTTAGTGTCCTCTTGGCCTGCACCCCCATTGGAGTCACAGATGAAGCTCCTGGTTCCAGCTTCAGATCAGGTCAGCTTTGGCCATGGTGGCCATTTGAGGAATGGACCATAAAATGGAAGAGCTCTCACGTGCCTAGGTTGCCTTGTACCTGCCAACAGTAGCTGGCAGGCACTCTAGGCCTGGGCAGATGCCATGTATGTGTTAACTATGCCACTGTGCCAGCATAGCTGCTTAATTATTATTATTTTAAAATTAAGTGGGGAAGACAGGGAATTCTGGACTGGGACATGCTACCCCAGCCCCCAGGCAAGGGTGCTCAGGATGGCACATGGTGGGGAGGAGGTTGGGGGCATACTGGAGTGGGAGTACATGTGACGGGGGAGGAATGACTTTTGGGGTCTTCCACACACCAAGCCGCTGTACTCACAGGCAGGTGAGGGAGCTGCAACAGTGGTTCATTCACAGGGTGGACTAGAGGGCGTGTCTGGGTCAGGCCAAGGCACCTGCCCATGTGGGAGACCTGGGCTGGGTTGTGACAGCCGGTTATGCATGAAGACCAGGATTGTGTGGGGCTGGCTGGGGTGGAACTGACCGGGCAGTTGCACCCACTTGTATGTGCAGTGGCTGGTGCAGGTCACGGGCTACAGCTGACCCTGCACTGGGGGAGCCACAGGTCAAGTGTGAAGTCACTCCAGGTGAGGTTTCTTTGGGGACTCCTCACCTAGACTGCTGGACTCATACCCGATCCACCTCAGAAAATCTCAGGGTGTGTGGTCCAACCTTGGGGTACATGTATCAGGCCTGGGTCTCTAGTTGCTGCTAATGCCTGTGCGATGGACAACATGTCCAGTGATGGTGAGCTCACCTGGGGGATGCCGACTGCCTCATCAGAAGATGGAGAAAGGAACAGGGTGGACAGCATGTTCCTGAGTGTAGATGCACTGAGATGGCCTTTGTCAACCCTACACCTTGCAGTAATGAAACCAGTAACTTCAGAAATATTGAGGGCCCGGCATGGTGGCCTAGCGGCTAAAGTCCTCATCTTGAATGCACCAGGATCCCATATGGGCGCCAGTTCTAACCCTGGCAGCTCCACTTCCCATCCAGCTCCCTGCCTGTGGCCCAGGAAAGCAGTGGAGGACGGCCCAAAGCTTTGGGACTCTGTACCCATGTGGGAGACCCAGAAGAGGTTCCTGGTTCCTGGCTTTGGATCGGCACAGCACCAGCCGTTGTAGTCACTTGGGGAGTGAATCATCGGACAGAAGATCTTCCTCTCTGTCTCTTCTCCTCTCTGTATATCTGACTTTGTAATAAAAATAAATAAATCTTTAAAAAAAAAAAAACTATTGAAACCACTCAGTAACCCCTCAGAACACTTCCTCACACTGTGCTCTAAAGCGTCATCAAATGAACAGTCCTCCACCCCAGGTGCTGGTGCACCTTGACAGCAAGGGGCAGACCCTTGCTCTGCTGTGGACACAGGAGAGCAAAGTGGAACATGTCCCACACACCTTCCTCCATTCCTGACCCCCTGTCATAACCGCAGGCCCACATGGACATACATCCTTCTTAACTATGTAGACAGTATTAAAATTGCTTAAAAATCTGTCTGTTACTTAGACTTTTTAAAGTTTTTTTTGCAAGTGAGAGAGATAGAGAGGAAGATTTTCCGTCTGCTGATTCACTCCCCAAGCTGCTGCAACGGCCAGAGCTGCACTGATCTGAAGCCAGGAGTCTCCTCTGGGTCTCCCATGTGGGTTCAGGGTCCCCAGGCTTTGGGCTGTCCTCCACTGCTTTCCCAGGCCACAAGCAGGGAGCTAGATGGAAAGCAGGGCCACTAACATCCAAATGAGATCCCAGCATGTGTAAGACAAGGACTTTAGCTGCTAGGGTACGATGCCAGACCCTACTAAGACGTTTTTAAGAATAAGACCAGGAGGTCCGGCATGGTAACCTAGTGCCTAAGTCCTCACCTTGAAAGTGCTGGGATCTCATATGGGCGCTGTTTCTAATCCCGACAGCCCCGTTTCCCATCCAGCTCCCTGCTTATGGCCTGGGAAGGCAGTTAAGGATGGCCCAAAGCCTTGGAACCCTGCACCCGCGTGGGTGACCTGGAGGAGCCTCCTGGCACCTGGCTTTGAATCGTTGCAGCTCCATCCATTGCGGCTACTGGGGAGTGAATCATTGAATGGAAGATCTTCCTCTGTCTCTTCTCTGTGTATATCTGACTTTGCAATTAAAAAAAAAAATCTTAAAAAGAAAAAGTAGGGCCTGGCGGCATGGCCTAGCAGCTAAAGTCCTCGCCTTGAACGCGCCAGGATCCCATATGGGTGCCAGTTCTAATTCTGGCAGCTCCACTTCCCACCCAGCTCCCTGCTTGTGGCCTGGGAAAGCAGTCGAGGACGGCCCAAAATCTTGGGACCCTGCACCCGTGTGGGAGACCTGGAAGAAATTCCTGGCTCCTGGCTTCGGATCGGCATAGCATCGGCCATTGTGCTCACTTGGGGAGTGAATCATCGGACGGAACATCTTCCTCTCTGTCTCTCCTCCTCTCTGTATATCTGACTTTCCAATAAATAAATAAGTCTTTTAAAAAAAAAAAAAAGCAAGGTCAGTGTGGTGATGGCTCAATTGGCTAGTCCTTAGCCTAAAGCACAGCATCCTACGTGGGTACCAATTCATGTCCTGGCCTCTCCATTTCCCTGGCTGTGGAAAATAATAGATGATGGCCCAAGCCTTGGGACACTGCACCTGTGGAAGACCTGAATGGGGCTCCTGCCTCTGGCTTTGGATCAGCTCAGCTCTGGCTGTTGTAGCCATTTTGGCAGTGAACCAGTGGATATGAGAGCTGTCTCTCCTTTCCAATTAAAATCTTAAAAGTTAGGGTTTTTCCTGTAGCCTGATGTGTCTCTTGGGGTAGGGGGAGGGACAGAGACACTCCCAGAGGCAGAATGGGGACCACAGAGGAGCCATGGGGGATCCTAGGGTGGCTTTGGCGGCAGGAACACACAGGAGGCACCTGCTCAGAGCAGCATTTCCCAGTTTATTGGAAGTGGTTGCTTTGCAAGAGCATCTGTGCCAACCCCATCACAGGAAGGAGGCCCACGAAAGACAGTGGCCAGCCCTCCCTGGCCAAGCACCACTCAGCAGAGCAGAGGTCTGGGCGGCCAGGGAGCCCCCCCAAGCATGCTGATACCCCAAGTCCAAGTCCAGGCCCATGGCCAACCACCGTGCACGTCTGTTGATCACCACAGCAGAACATGCAGTGCCCCCTGGGGAGTGGGGGTGAGCTGCCCCAGGGCTGTGCAGGTCCAGTCTGCACCTTGCTCACTCAGATGGCCAGCTGCTGTGCTGCACAGCTCGTGCCTGCCCCACCTTGGGCCGGGCCTCCTGCGGCTGCTGACCCCAGGACTAGAACACAGGACAGCATGGATGCGAATGTCACCTACACAGCTCTTCCTCTTCATAAAAAAATATTTATTAGTTTAAACATTGATTTTAAAAAATCCATCACGTTAAAAACAAAACAACACATAGACCCTAAACACATCTGTCTCAGGCCTGAGCCAGCGGAGGCTGGAGCAGCTGGGGGACCCTTGGTTTCCAGGTGTTGGCTAATAAGAGGCTCTGTGGTGCCTTCTAAGAGCTGGGTGGGGCAGCACCCTGAGTGGTGGGCCTGAGCCGGGCTAGGCAGACTCCTGATGGCCAGGGGCTGGCTGCAACCCAAGTAGTAAGACAGTGAAAGGCGGCAAGGGGCTGGCTGGTCTCCTGAGGGGAGGGAGCCCAGCTATATCCTCCTGTTCATCCCAGCTCCACAGAGGTGGGCAGTGAGCAGAGGGTCCAGGATTGGCTGAGAACCCTGACCCTCAACTCCCTCTCTGATAAGGACTGTGGGTGGGTGGAGGTCACAGCACCCGGGGACCTATGTGAGGGTCTGGAGTTTCTCTCCTATGAGGAAGCAGCAGACACAAGGGGATTGGTCAGTGACGGCCAAAGGCCAAGTCTGGGAAAGTCAGGAGTGTCCAGCAGGCAGGGGTCCCAGGAGGCAGAAGGCAGGGTGCGGACAGGGGATGCATGGCCCTGACTGCTCCAGGGTGCTGGGTTGCCGCATGGTCGGTAGGTGTGAGCAGCTCGTGGCACTGAGGGGGGTCTCACCTCCGAGGGCAGGCAGTTAGCAGCAGAAAGGTGGGGTGGCCCCCCGGCCAGCTTAGAGGGAAGTCAGCAGGAGTGCTGGGGCACAGGAAGTACAGGCGGGACCCCAGAGCACAAGGCGCACCAGGAAGTATAGGCAGGCCTCAAAACCAGGGACCCCAGGGCACAGGGCCGGGGAGCAGGCAGGGGTTGTAGGAGGGCCACTCCCCAACATAGCACCTGGGCCAGACCTCCCACAGCACCTACCTGGCAGGGCCCTGGGGCAGTGAATGACCTGGCTGCTGCGGGCGATGGCAGTGCCACCTGGGGTAACTCAAGGAGTCCTTTGGATGGCCAGCACGCTCCCAGTCCCAGGACCCCACCCAGCACCTGCTTCTCCATCCACAAGGACTGGATGGTTTCTGGTCTGAGGCTGGAGCCCACCTGCAGCCTGGCCCCAGCCCTCAGTAGGACGACCTGGCACACACTAGGCAGCAAGTGCCCTAGCACAGCCAACCCAAATCTTTGTCTGGCCCCGTGGAGGGGCTAGGGGGCCCCGGTGAGTCACCATCCTTGTCCCCGAGCAGCGTGTCCTCAGGTGCCAGGCCCATGTGGCTCTTCCACTTGGCCGCATCCTCATCCTCATCCTCGCCCAGCTCCTCAGCCTCCCCCCGTGGGTCATCGGGGTCCTCCAGATAAGGCCCATCACCCGCAAACAGTGCCTCTGGGGAACCCTCCCCGCCACCGTGGTCGCGCGGTCCTGCCACGCTGTGGCCAGCACAGTCAGCACACACACCATGACGCCGCGAGCCGTGCTTGATCCCCACGCTGGCTGCGGACATGAACACGCGGCTGCACACCTTGCACACGTACTTCTTGTCCTTGCTGTGCACCTGGGGATTGGGGGAGACACATGTGTGGGATGGGGGGAACCTGCGTAAGGCCAGTGGTCTGTACAGGATATGGGGTGGGGGGTCCTGTGTGGGAAGGGTGTTTAGGTCCAGGTGGGGCCATGGGAATCCACAGGCAGTGACAACAATGACAAACAGGAAGGCCAAGTTCACAAGGGCACCAGATTCCTCAAGGGACTCCAACCCCAGGCTTGAGGTCCAAGGGAGTCATAGGAGCTGCCAGTCCCACTAGGCCCCATCCACGTGACAGGATAGGGGAGCAGGCATCTCCAGGTGGACTGCACCCTCCCAGCAGTGAGGCTTTGGGACTTGGTTATGTCCCAGCCCGGCCTGCCCCCTAGGGAAGCAGGCTCTGCTGGGCTGGCCTCGGTCACACTGCAGCCAAGCCTGGAGCTTAATGGCTCCATCCCCCTCAGGCACCTGCTCCTCTTGGGGGTGTGCCAGGAACCATGCTCAAAGGGAGGTGGAGGGACTGGCCCTGCCCTCCTTCCTCTGCGTCCCCTCTTCACTAAGCTGAGTGATGGACAGACCCCTCTGTCCTGGCAAGGGGCCACCAGGTCCCTTGACGGTTGGCTGTTGAATCAACTCTGGCCAGCAAGGCCCTCTCCTGAAATGCAATCCTTTCTCCCACTGGACTTCCCACTCCTCCCATGCTCACCACAGACCAAGAGCAGCCCAGACACCTTGTGGAATCCAAAGGCACCAGGACCAGATGGGTGGGACACTTTGGTCAACAGCAAGAGGAGATAGGCTGAACACCCAGGCTCTTACTGCTAAAGACCTTGTGGCCCATCCAGGATAGCAGTCACCTGCTGATCCACTGAGGCAGGCGGGGGAGGGGCAGTGCAACCCCCTCCCACCCTAGGTTGTCAGTCTGTCCATGCAGCCTGCAGGATGCTCAGCAAAGGACCCTGAAAGGAGACTTGGCAGGCACACCCCACTTCATTTCTCAGGGCGTGGCCTCCTTTAGGCCCAGTCCAAGCCCAGCAGAGGACCCCCCCACGAGGACCCCTGACCTCTTGCCTTCCCACGGCTCTGCCAAGCCCCCACACCTTGAGTACCACACAAGACCCTGCACCCCCTCGCCGTGTCCTGGGTCCCAGACACTGACCTCCCTTGGTGGCAAACCCGTCCCAGCGCTCCGTCCACCCACTTAGCTCCCACTCTGCCCGCTGGGCTAGCCTTTGGACTGGGCCCTGGTAGAGCAGGGCATGAGGACCCAGTAGAGCAGTGGCTGAGGCCTGGCTGGTGACCCAAGGCCATGCTCACCACCCGCGCCCGGCTCACCAGCGTGTGCCGCTTCATGTGTTCACGCCGCGTGAACTTCTTGCCACAGATCTCACAGGGGTACGGCCGCTCGCCGGTGTGGGACCGCATGTGGCGCTTGAGGATGCATTGGTGCATGGCCGAGAAGCTGCAGTACGGGCACTTGAACTTCTTCCTGATGACTGCGAACTCGTTCACTGCAGGCAGAGACCAGGTCAGTGGGCAGGCAGGGTTGGCCATCCATCCCCCACCCTATCCACAGCCCAACGGCAGGCGGTGCCCTTGGGTGTCTGGACAGATCCACGCCACCTCTACCAGCTGAATGGTGCTTGAGCCACAGCCCTCACCAGCATGTCCATGATGCTGGCCAAGCCATTAGATGGCTCTACAGACATGGACAGCCACCCATGGGGACCTCCCAAAAGGCAAGCAGGGCCACCAGGATAAGGTATGGTGTGGGGTGGCAGCGACCAGTTCCTGCCTCCCAGCCCGGATGCAACGTAGGCCTCCCCTACAGACACACAAGCCCTGGCCTGCAGCCCGGGTGCAAGGAACATGCAGTGCCATGATTTTAACCTGAAGTTCTGGTGCCTCCTGCACCACCAGCCGCCACCCCTCAGGGACCCATGCCCTGTGTCCTGGCTATGACCATAGTCCCAAGTCTGGGAGGAATGGATGCCTGAGGCCCACAAAAGACACCAAGACAGAGTTCCAGGATCCTGACCAGCCCTAGCTGTTGCAGACTTTGGTCTCTGCCTTTCAGATTAAGTGAAATAATGAAAATGAAATAACCTTGAGAGATCTGTCTCCATGGTACAGGTACAGGTGCGCCCCAGCCAGCGGATCTCTCAGAACCCCCCAACCTCCCTCTGGCCCTCCTGCCACTGGTGCCCATGTATGTGAGAACACAACCACACCACTGTGTGTCCAGTACATGCTGGCCTCAGATACACAGCCCTGTAACCCATCTGGCCAGGCCATGCCTTGTACCCAGCACCCCTACGACCTTGAAGCCCACAGCCCATGATCATCACCCCATTGGTCCCCTCACTACACAAAGCCATGGGCGCCACTAGAGACTTCAGGTGCCTGAACAGCAGGACCCAGCTTGGACCACTGAAGAAGGTGCACCCCACTCACCCCCCAGGACCTACGTGTCAGCACCAGCACCCTCCCTATACCCTGGCCAGGCCCTGGCGCCTGGACTCGGAATGGAGGGAAGTGACGATGATTCAAGCTGTGGGCCCAGGCTGGGGGCCAGCACCACCAAGATGCGGTGGGCCCAGATTCCCTGACACTCCATTAAAGTGTGAGACAGGGACACAGCTTCCTGCCATCAGTCACTCCCCTGAACCCACAGCAGCCAGGGCTGTGGCAGTCCTGGCCTCTCTAGTGGGACACAGGAGCCCAGAACCCAGAACTATCACCACTGCCTATGACCCAACCCTGGGGCTCCAATAAAGAACACAGGCTTCTTCACTGAGTCCTACCCCAGGCCACCACCTGCCCAGTGACACTGACTAGGCCACCAACGGCAACCAGGACAAGAATGGCAACTGGCGAGCACTGAAGGCATGGTTTTCTGCTTTCTTTCTTTGGCCTGTGTATCCTTTCCCTGTCCACAGGCGCCAACTGAGGGCAAATCCTGCACCTTCTGTGGCAGGTATGGGAAGGGAGGTGACAGATTCCAGGGGACAGTGACAGATTTATGTGGCAGGAATTTAAAACTGAGGGATGAAAGTGCTCAACACTTTCCACAGTATGGCCGGCTCACACAGGCCCTCCCTTTCCCAGGCTTTTTCTGTCCCTTGCCTTAGGCCCGGATCTCCAGAATGACTGTCCTCTGAGGAGAGCTGGTCTTGCTGGGCTGCTGTGGCCACACTGAGGAGCCCCACAACACCACCCTCTGGTAGGCTGATGGCACGCCAGCCAGCCTGTCTAGATCTGTATCTAGGGCTGGTCACGGATGGGCTGTTGCCCGCTGCCCACACAGCTGCCCACTTGTGGGGCCAAGCTTGGATCTAGCCTTGGCCCCACACAGGCTATTGTCCGCAACACCTTCCATCTCAGCTTTCACTCCAGCCACAGAGCCTCAGGGAGACCCACATGGTCCCTCAGGGAGGCCCACAGGGTCCCTCAGGGAGGCCCACACATCCCCTCAGGGAGGCCCACACATCCCTCAGGGAGGCCCACACATTCCCTCAGGGAGGCCCACACATCCCCTCAGGGAGGCCCACACATCCCCTCAGGGAGGCCCACACATCCCCTCAGGGAGGCTCACACATCCCTCAGGGAGGCCCACACATCCCCTCAGGGAGGCCCACACATCCCCTCAGGGAGGCTCACATGTCCCTCAGGGAGACCCACACGTCCCTCAGGGAGACCCACACGTCCCTCAGGGAGGTCCCTCAGGGAGGCCCACACATCCCTCAGGGAGGCTCACAAGGTCAGGGTCCTGGCTTCTCTATCCAGCCCACTTCCTGTCCCATAACCCTACTTGAGCAAGGGGGAATTGGGGACCCGTGGCTCACTCCCCAACATGTGGTTCAATTTCTGACTTCAGCTTTAACACATGTCCTTTTGCCAGCTGCCATGTGGTCCTCATCGGCTGATGGGAAGACACGAGGTTTAGGAAGACATGAATGACTAGGGCCAAAACAGGTATGTCTGCTATCCACAGCAAGTTCCCTGCTCCAGCTTCTGCCCTGGCAGCCTTGACCCCTGCGTGTGACACCCATGTGCAGCCCCTGGCCCAGCCTCAGCTGTTGAGGTATTTGACCCTGGGGAATTTGTCTCTGACTCAGACAAACAAGCAAAAAAGGAAAAAGAAACCAGCCCTAAAATGCACTCCAGGCCTAAACACTTCAGGCAAACATTCAGGGCAGCTGAGGTGTGGCCAAGCAGATCAAGCCACTGCCTGCCTAGCCCCTCCAGTCCAGACCCAGCTCCCTCCAATGGCTTGTGCAACCAGCTGAGGATGGCCAGAGACTTCAGGCCCTATACCCACAAGAGAAACTTGGATGGAGTTCCTTGCTCCCTGGCAGCCCCAGGCACTACAGTCATCTGGGAGTGAACCAGCAGATGGGAAGATTCTCTGTTGTAACCTTTGACTTTCAAAAAAAGAAAGAAACTTAAAACTATTTGAAGATGGGCTTGGCACAGTAGACTAGCAGCTAAAGTCCTCACCCTTGCACTCATTAGGATCCTATATGGGCGCCAGCTCTAATCCTGACAGCCCCACTTCTAGTCCAGCTCCCTGCTTGTGGCCTGGGAGAGCAATCGAGGACAGCCCAAAACCTTGGGACCCTGCACCCACATGGGAGACCCAGAAGAGGCTCGAGGCTCCTGATTCCTGGGTTTGGATCAACTCAGTTCTAGCCATTGCAGCCACTTGGAGACGGAGGATCTCCCCCTCTGTATATCTGACCTTGCAATAAAAATAAATAAATCCTTAAAAAAAAAATGGGAGGCATTGGCCAAGAATGTTCCCTTAAAAAATACATTTGAAGATAAACTACCTCAATGCACAATGTAGCAGAAGACAGGAAGGCTTTTGGGGATCCCTGTGTATTGGGGGAGCTGCTGGGATGAGGGTGGGGCCGGATCTCCTGGCAGATGCTATCACATCCCTCTCATACTGACACATCACAACTAACTCTGTCACAAGTGTCACCAGTGCCTTCTTAGCTGGACTACTTCTTGGCATCCCACTCAGCCTTCCCACAGCCACTCCCTCTATCCACTGAGACATGGCGCTCCTGGAACTCACAGCCTGGGCCTGGGCCCCTCAGATGCAGAGGCAGGGACACTGTCCCCAGATAGCTGATGTTCACACGAGAAGCTCCCCACTCTCCAGAAATGCCCACTGACTGGTGCTGGATGCCCAAGGCAGGTGTCCCTGGGCCATGACCTATGGGCAACACTGCTCTGCTGCCTGCTTTGCTCCTATGGGCAGTATGGTCCTTGGCCCCTGAAGTCGCTTCTCCAGTCTGATTGTGGCCACGAAGATAAGCCTTGGGGCAGGCGCAGGTGGACGGCACCAACCCCAGGCAGGCAGGGTGGCACTGTCTACTCCCAGGGTACCTGCCTCTGCGAAGCCATGGCCAGTACTGTCTCTGCCTCCTGGCCCCTGCAAGCACCTGCTCCCAAAGGCATGCACAGTCAGTGGCTTCCCACTACCCAAGCAGGAAACAGGGCCAGGCTCCCAGCTCCTGGAAGCTCCTGATAGCTGGGCAAGTTCCTGGCTTCAACCTGCCTGCCTTGGTCACATGGACATGTGGGGAAGGGAACCAGCCCCCCGAAAAGCTTTGTCTCTTCAGTATGTGTTTAAAGATGGACACCATGAACATGAGGAGTTCTTAGGGCAAGATGGCAAGGCCTGTAAGACATGCTCGGCCAATGTCACCACAGCATGTGGCTTTGACCTCTCCAGAGCTGGACTTGAGCCAAGATCCCTGAAACAGAGACCCCACATGATCCAGTCAGGTTGCACCTGTCACCTGAAAGTGACGATTGGCCCACCACCTGGACACTGAGACCTGGTGGGATCACCACAGCCGCAGCACCGCACCAGCCTGTTCCTCACCGCCACCCCTCGCCATCTGCCCCCACACACCCTGACGTCTGCCATGCCAGGCAGCCGGCCACACCAGAGCTGGCCAAGCTGCAGGCACAAGTATGCGTTCAGGGTGGGGACAAGGCACCAGGGGAGCTTCTTGCTGTCTCCATGGGGGTGTCCTCCTGGGGTTCCTCTGCTGATTGTAGCACCAAGGGTTGCGGGCAGGCAAGGCCAAGCTGCCCCAGAGCAGGGCCCAGACAGAGACCTCAGCCCAGGGTGCCCCACACACCCCGGCCACCAGCTCCCGGAGCAGTATCACGAAGGGCACTGCCCTGCATCCAGGTCCCAGGAGTGGACCTAGGAGAGGACACAGAGAGGTTACACAGTGCCAGGAGCTGAAAGCCAAATGAGATTCATGGTACCCCCACACCTTTGCCAGGCACTCACCGGGCTCCCCGTGATGGGGCTACAGGGTCAGCCCCTCAGTGGCCACCTGGAACGGAAGGTGGTTGTGAATTCTCAGCAAACAGCGCCACAGCTGCCACCATGTCATCCAGGCACGGGGTGTGTGCCGCACTGCACCATCAGTGGCTCAGCTCTAAGGAGCTGCCTTCTGAAGGCCCAACATGGAAGGCCCTGCAGCTCCCAGGGCCAGGACTGGCTGACCATGGCCACGATGCTCAGTGCCAGGCCCTGGAGACGAGCACACGTCTTCACATTAAGAAAAATGTTCCTCAAAGTGCAGAGAGCACAGCGGGTACACAAAACACAGCGCGAGCATCCCATGTGGACACCTGCTGGAATCGCAGTTACTCCACTTCCAGTCCGGCTTTCTGCTGCTGGCCTGGGACAGCAGCGGAGAATGACCTAAGTCCCTGGGCCTCTGCACCCCATGTGGGAGACCCAGACAGCGCTCCTGGTTTCAAGCCTGAACCAGCACTGGCTGTGTGGTCACTGGGGAAGTGAACCAGTAGATTCTTTTTGACTCTTTCAAATAAATACTTAAAAAAAAAAGAAGTTCAGAGAAGTACTTTCAAAATAGAAAACAGTGCAACCAGTGCCGCACACACAGCCACAGGAGTGGCCCCCACAGCTGCACGCCTAGCTCACTGAGGAGAGCCTAGAGCCTGGCTGGCAACGTGGAGCCAGGTGTGCTGGCATGGCAGCCGCACTCCCATCTCCCCTGGGCTCTGCTCGTCCATTCCTGGAAACCACTACGGCTGAGGGTGGCAGGAGGCTGGAGGCTTTTCCTGCCTCAACATCCCCAGGAGAGTACAAGCCCTGAGGACAGAGACCCAGCCGTCTCCACAATGCATCCTGGTGGTGTGGTATGTGGCGGCTGACGTTCTGGACATGTTCCTATGTCCTTTAGTGGGAAATGGCTCCGATCCCAGAATGAACAGGAATCAAGCTGAGGGCGTGCTCCATTGGGAATAGTCCTTCAGAGAAATGCAGGTGTAGCTGCTCACAGCGAGACTGGAGAAATGAGCATGACGTGTTGGCAACCCGGGGCAGGCTGGCACACACCTAGAGAGAGCTACAGCTTGACTGGCCTGGCCACCTCACACCCAGACCCAGCTGGCCTGGCCACCTCACACCCAGATCCGGCTAGCCTGGCCACCTCATGCTCAAACTTTGGCTGGCCTGGCCACCTTGTACCACAGCTTAATGTGTCACTCTGCTCCATCTTGCTGCCCCGTGAGCAGGTCACTTCCCATCTGTCACATGAAGTCAGTCATTCAGGTTGTTCTATTCCCAGGCCTGTGAGGGAACCACCGCAGGAGTCCTCAATGGCCCAGCTTGGAGCCCAATGCACATGGGAAGTGTGTCTGGTCACTGAGTGATTGACTGACAACTAACAAGCAGCTGCCAATCAGCTGCTGAAAAAGCAAGTTGGGCCAAGTCACAAGGAAACCCTCTGTCTTCTCAGGAAGAAGTTGGTCATCTTGAGTTTAGTGGCCCACGATGTGGTGGAACAGGAAATCACTCCTGCTTTTGTAGAACATTCCAGAAGCATCCGCAAAGGCTCTCCATTCAATGAACATAGCATAACAAGCCCCAGGCCCTGACGCCCCACACAGAGATGGGTGGTGTGGGGGGAGGGCCCCTGAGGCCACACAGCCATATCCCTGTGCATGAGGCCAGTGTTGGCTTCCACATCCCAAACCGTAGATCCCATATCTGGAACAGCAGGTCAAGGCCGGGCCGAGCTTCAGTGAGCCTGCTCTGGCCTCACAAATGGCCCCAGTAAAGACAACTGTGGCCTTTCACTCCCACTTTATTGCATTACACTTTGCCCCTCACCCCTGTAGATCTGCCACAGACCCTTTCAGCACCAGGAGAAGCATGGTGTGGAACACCATGGTGGACGCCCTCAAGCAAGATGCGGTTGCCAGACCCTATGTGGTCATTGGTCCCACATGCCCTTTGGACAGGCCCCCTGCCCAGGCAGTGTGGTGCGAGAGGAGATCGGCGCACAGACCTTCCAGCGCAGCAAGACAACCCAACTTCAGGGAGAAGACCCCAGTGCCCCATGCCCTTCCCATTCGCCCATGCCCACACTTACACGACAGCGAGTGTGTGCCCTTGGGCAGATACTCCAGCAGCAGTGTGCCATCGTCACCCAGCGCCTCGGCCTTGAGGGACAGCAGGCTGTTCTTGCTCATGAGCGCTGCGCGCAGGTTGGCCACAGCCGCTGCCTGCTGCAGGGCTTCATCCTTCTCAGCCAGGGCGACGCCCAGAAAGCTCGCCTCTCCTTCCATTAGGCTATCTTCTGCCGGTGTGAAGAGCTCAGCCCTGTCCCCGCGGCCCTCGGAGCTGCTGGCTTCGGCTGCCGCCAGCTCAGCACCTGGGGCGGGAGAAGGCACGTCAGCCAGGGCTGCTGCCACTGGGGGTGGGGGTACCCACCCACCTGGAGCCCCATGACAGTGACTGTTCCCACACCAGACCCACAGACGGGCCATCTTCCTTGGTCGCAAGTCAAAGACCTGCTCCTAGGACAGAGCAGACCCCTCCCAACTAAGCGAAGACCCAGGACCCCCTTGTCAGAACACATCTGGGATTCCTCTGGCCACCTCCCTAGGTCAGAGCAGATCCTCCCAGAGTCAGACAATGACCCAGATGTCAGGGTTAAGGTGGCAGTTCTTCCCAGGCCAGCAGGGCTCTCAGACCTGGCCATGGACTCCAGGACATGACACTGGGACCTCAGGCAACAACAGATAAACTGTGGCCCCTAAGGACTTGGTCAACTATGGAGGACGACTCTTGCATGGTCACTCCACCAAGTGCATCCCTCAACATAGGGAACAGGGGCGCAGGTCAGCCCTCTGCAGCTCCAAGGAACATCTTCATTGCCATGTCTAGAGGGATACTATTACTTCAGCTCACAGGTACAGCTGTCCCTTGACAGGGAGGGTGCCACACCCAGGTTCTAGGCACCCACCTTCCTGAATGAAAAGGATACTGGGAGGTGACTGAAGTCAGGCCTGGACAGGGACACTCTGCAGCAGCTTAGAGAGAGACTCTAGTTACAGCAATGGTCAAGGGGTGCCCAAGGCAAGGCTTGTAAGCCCAGGCCCCACCCTCACTGCTGGTGACAGCCCCCTGGCTCCTCAGGCCAACACATCTGACTAGCTCAGGCAATTCTCAGAGTCACACTGACCTCAGACTCCTCAGAGTCACCACTCATCTCCCTCTCCCCTCAGGATCACTGCTGACCTCACTCTCCCCTCTGGCTTCAGTTTTTCCACTAGGGTCAGTGCTGGCTTCATCAGCCCCCCAATCTGGTTCTGGGAAGCCACCGAGTTAAGCCAGGCCGCAGGCGGATACCCGGTGAGGGACACTAGGGCAGGGCATGTGAGCCCAGAACCTGCATCCAGCATCCCTGGGGCCTAAGGGGACTGCCCTGCGCAATTTGGGAGCAGAAAGCCCTTCCATGGGAAAAGTCTCTAATCAGAGCACAAGGACCCCAAAAGGGACTAGAAATCCAGGGGAGGCCGAGACTGGGTGCAGCAGGCACAGTACCCCCTTCTCACCATCCCCAAGACCATACCTCCACTAACACGAGTCTGCACTCCTACACATGCCCACATGAGTCTGTAACCCCTGCAGCAGCCGGCACCCGCACACCAGGCTGCATCCCTACGAGCCCCTAAACCCTGCAGGACCCTCACCCTCACAAGAATCCGCACCCCCATACCAGCCTACAGCCCTGAGGCCCCAGCTCTGTAGCCTGGCCTTCAGTGGAGGTAGCTCACAGTTGCCTTGGCAACGATGGGAACAAAAGCACACAGCCCTACTCACTTGTTGGATCCTAAATCACCTTTGCTCTGAATAGCACCTCGACTCCCGGGCCACAGCCTGATGGGTGGCCCTGGTCAGCCGTAGTAACCTTACAATCTGCCCTCGGAGCTTAAGAGCACATGACCACCCCGGAGCCTCAGCAGCACCCCAACTTCTGGGACCAATTCCTCCCAACTCAGAAACCTAATTTCATGCCATCAGACCTACAATGGGAGGGCAAATGAAGGCCTGAGTGGGAGAGGCACAGACCCCATCCCTGGCAGTGCAGAACACACAGCTCACCCCACCCCTATAGAAAGGAGTTGGGGTAACAGAAGCCTCGGGAGTCAGGGGAGGGGAGTGAACTCCAGGGAGGGAGCCATCGTGGAACTGAAGGAGAGAGGCACTTGACCCCACCAGGAGACTATTTAAGAAAGTCTGGGCCTGGCCCTGAGGCCCAGTGCTGTACCCCCTACTGGTGGGCCTTGGCCCCTTGAATGGGATCTAGCTCCCTGTCCAAGCATCCTGGATGTGGTAGGTCATGGCTGAGCACTCACTTGCTGGCTCCTGGCTTCAGCCTGGCCCAGCCCTGGCTGCTGAGGTCATCTGAGGATGGAATCAGCAGAACAGAGACTCCCTAGTTCCTGCCCTGTTTCCTCTCTGTCTCCAAGTCTCTCTCCCTTGCAAGTCCCTCCTCCATCCACCAGTTTTACCACAAGGACAGGAGCCATGTGTACCATGTTAGCTCTGATCCTAAGGGGATCCACCCTGCTAGACCCTGCTGGGCCACTTGAACTCTCAGTCAAGGAGGGAGGAACAGGTATTCCCCTCAAGAACCCCTGGAGGTGGGGGGGGGGGGGTCCCAGCACAGGCACATGCTTGGCCCTTTGGCCTCTCCCAGAATGCAGTCGGAGAAAGGCACCTGCCTGTCGCTCCCAGGGGCTCAGCGCTGGCTCAGTCATTTCATTATCCACCATCTACAACGCAGGCAGGCATAGATGGACACAGTCCATGGCCCTGCCAGGTGATAGCAGCTGGTAGGTGCAGCTGCAGCTCCTGCACCTGCCTCTGGCACTGGCACTTGTGCCTCCCCAGGGGCTGCCTCACAGCACTGCTTGTCCCACACTCACAGACACCCACACACGCACATCAACATGCATGCACACACACGTGGCCCCCGTCTCCCTCTGCTTCTCCACAGCAGGGAGGCATGCACCCTGGAGATCTTAGGATGGACACACAGAGTTGAAGCCTCCAGGTCTGCTGACCTTCCCATCGGCCAGTGTGAGCCCCACTCCTGCCTGGACATGCCCCCTCAGGCAGGCGTGAGGCTTACTTGAGCCCCGGCCACCAAAGGGCCACGTGGTGGCGGGGAGGAAGGACGGCGGTGGGGAGCCTGCGGGGCCATCGTCCTCCTCTGGCGGCTGCGTGATATGCCGCACGGTGTCCTTGTTCTTGCGGTTCTTCCTGCGCCCAGCGGCCCCCAGCTCAGGGAAGGTGCCCTGAAGTGTGCCTGCCACGCAGGGTGGTGGCGGTGACGGCTGCTCCTCCTTGACATGCAGGGGCCCACAGCCTGTGTCACCCGGCCACAGTGGTTGTGTGGGAATATCCTCCAAGCCGTTGGCTTTGGACTCAGGCTCATCCCTCCCATAGCTGCCGCTACTGCCACTGCCACCGCCCTCATGGCAGCTGGCGATGGCTGAGTCCCCAGAGGAGCCTGTGGGGCTGGTTCGCCGGGCCAGCCAGGGCGAGATGCTCCTGCCGGCCATGACGGCTGAAAGCAGGGCCTCAGCACCACCACCCACTGGGCCGCCATCCTCCAAGTCGGCCAGCTCATCTGAGGCGTCAGCCTTGATGCTGATGTCCAACGCGGCCTTGATGAACTCATGGCAGGCCTGCACAATGTCAGTCATCTGCAGGAAGCTGGCAGCCGACATGACCTCGATGACGTTCCTGCTGGTGAGGGCTAGGTGGGCTGAGTACATGAAGTCAATGATGGCCTTGAAGCCCTGGGCCGTGACGATGTCCAGGTGGGTGACCGTGGCCTGCTCCGACGTCTTCTGCACCTGGCAGAAAAGCGTCTTGAAGTAGCGGCTGCTGCCCAGCAGCACGTTGCGGTGTGCCCGGAAGACCTTGCCCTCCACCACCACACAGGCGTCACACAGTACCCCACGCTGCCGCTGCTCGTCCAACTCCCGAAGAAGGTGCCGGTAGTGGGACGCGATTTCCATATCTCCCTCTCGCGGTCCACCCGCGGGCCTTGTGGCTGTCTCTTCTATGGAGCCTGGTCGGGGAGAAGGACAGTGTCAGGCAACGCAGTGGCCCAGGGAAGGGGTAGAAGGCTGGTGGGGGAGGACAGCCTCAGGTGGGCAGAGAGCTGAGGGAGAGGCCAGTGTCAGTTGGGGCCCATACCATCTTGCTGAAGAGCCCTGGCCAGAGTGGTACGCAGTAGGCAGCAAGCCCAGAGCCTGCCTGGTGCAGAACAGAGGTGGGCGGAGACAGGAAGGAAGGTCTGACTCCAGCTGAGCCCAAAACACAATCCCAGACACACCCACTGACCCCAGCGCAGGGCAATAGACCTCCTCGCCCAAAATGAAAACCAGACTGGTAGGGACTGACAGGGGGTCACCTGTGACATCCGCATCCCACATGGACACCAGCTCATGTCCCAGCTGTTCCATGTCTGCTCCAGCTCCTTGTTTGTGGATGGCCCAAAGGCTGGAGCTTCTGTACCTGTGTGGATACCCAGATGGAGCTCCTGGTTCTTGGCTTCGGTCTGGCCCCAGCCCCAGCCATTGCAGACATTTGGGGCATGAACCAGTAAATGGAGGACTCCTCTCTCTCCCCTCCCTCTCAGTGTAACTGCCTTTCAGATTTGAGCCAACAAGTCTTTAGAAAAAGAAACCAAGCAAAGTACCCACACCAACCCCTCAGAGCAAGACAGACTCACAGCAAAGCCTGAAGCTAAGCTCAGACCAGCTGCCACGGGAGGGTCTGTGGGCCACCTCTCATCCCTGGAGGGAACAGTAGGGGACCAGTCTTCCCTTGCACCTCAACAGGACAGAGGAAACAGTGTTGTGGGGCTGGACCACCATGCCTGGCACTGTCCCACTCAGCCCCACAGCATCAGCACAGCCATGCTGGTCAAAGGCTTCCCTGTGGTACAAGGGAGCCTGTGTGGCAGTCCCTCAGCTAGTCTGGCTGTACTGGTCTGAGTGCTTCAGGACATCAGCAGGGAGGGCCACACACACCACACCCATCAGTGCCTGGGACCTCAGATGCAGCAGGCGGCGCTGCCTGCTCAGGAAATTCATCCAGGGCTAGAAGGGCATCGTAGGCACCCAGCCCAGTCCCCTCCCCACCAGAACAGAGGCTCCAAACACCAGGGGCTTCCCAGGTCCTGGCCCTAGGGGAGCTCCTGGCTCCTGTCCAGCAGCGCCTGGCCGTCACAGGCATGTGGGGAGCCGACAGCAGAAGGATGACCTCTCTGTCATTCACTCTGTGTGGATCTTAACCTTACACCTCACCAATTGTTTATTTTTAAAAGATTTACTTACTTGAAAGGCAGAGCTACAAAGAGATCTGCCATCTGCAGGCTCACTCCCCAAATGGCTACAACCGACAGAGCCAGGAGCTTCATCTGAGGCCCAAGCACAAGGGCATCCTCTACTGCTTTCCCAAGTTATTAGCAGGGAGCTGGACTGGAAGTGGAGCAGCCCGAACTTGAAATGGTGGTCTTACGGTATGCTGACACCACAGACGGAGGCTTAACTGGCTCAATGAGAGTTCATAGGTGCTGTTGTTCCCCCATGCCCATCACACCCACGTACTCCTTTGGCCACACCAGGGTGAGAGCCAGTGTCATAGTTTGGCAGGACAACAGCCCCCCACCACCACCCTCAGAGCACGGCTCTACACATTGGGTCTTGCACACCTCAGAGAGACCAGACGGAGCTCCCCACAAGAGCTTTGCCACAATGGTCACGCCCTGGAAAACAACAAATGGGCCTCAGCAGTCACAGGAGCGACCTCAGGGCACAGTGGACACAGGAGGAACAGCAGGAAAAACAGACACAGGAAGGACCTCAGGGCACAGCGGACACAGGCAAGGGCCTCAGGACACAGTGGACACAGGCAGGGGCCTCAGGGCACAGCGGACACAGGCAGGGACCTCAGGGCACAGTGAACACAGGCAGGGGCCTCAGGGCACAGTGGACACAGGCAAGGACCTAGGGGCACAGCGGTCACAGGAGGGACTTCAGGGCACAGCAGACACAGACGGGGCTGTGTCCCAGCACTGCTGCTTCTCCAATAGTGGCGGGGTTCACTCGAGTCCACTGTTCAGAAAGGGACAGTTTGTGGCAACTACAGCTCAGTATGTGGATTAGAATTCATTTTCATGAAAAACCTGCTCAGTCACTCCCTTGCTGCCCACCAAGAGCAGTGCCCAGGGAAGAAGCAGGAAGGACCTCCATGCCCAAAGGACCTAACACTGACCCCTCTACCACCACCCAGGCACCCCTTTGCAGTTCAGGTGAGGCTGGCATGGACCCTCGTCCCAGATGGGGCAACCACACCTCCCAGGCTCCAGACACAGTGGGCAGCTCCCCTCCCACTCGCGCACAGGCCTGGGGTCCTCTGGGCGGGAGATAGGCAGCCCTGACCTGACTGCATCCTGTGGGATGCAGCAGCACAAGGTGGGTGCCCCAGCACAAGGTGAGGCCACAGCGCAGCTGCCCGCAGAGACAAGGCCCAGCCACCCCTCTCTCAGTTCCTCCACCCCAGCCCCTTCCCTCTCAGTTCCTCCACCTCCAGCCCCCTCCCATTTCCCTCTCCACCCAACACACTGAGACCACAAGGGCCACTTCTCCTTTTCAAGCCCCAAGCTAGGTCTTCTCAGCAGGAGACAGAGTGACAAGACAGGGAGCGTCTGATGATATGCATGCTTGGCCACTTGTACAACCAGGGACACACATGACCATGACTACATGCATGACCGGGACACATGCGCCCAGGCCCCCGACGTTACATGTTCCTGCTGTTGCCAAAAGCACAGGGTGAAGCATCCCCCTTTGTGTCAGGAAAGGTCCAGACCCCCTGCCCCTTGGTGCTGGACGGCCCAAAGGTGGACAAAGCTACCAGGACCTCTCCACACTGAACCTGCAACAGGGAACCCAAGGGTGTCACCTGGAACAGGAGTCAGCAGGCTGGCCTGTGTTGCCAGCCGCATCTGTATGTACTGGCTACATGCCGTACCCAAAATGGCGCCGGCCGGAAAAGCCACACCTTGGTTCCTGGTGACGTAGCTTTTGTGGTACTGCGCAGGCGCCTAGCACATGCCCAGTGAGCTGAGGCGTGGCCGGCGCATGAACACTGGGACTGACGAATCCAGTCGCCCAGGACCCTGCGTAATCATGACGCCGACCTATCATCGGCGGAGGCGGGGCCAGTCAGCACATAAGAGCAGACAGCCTGCCGGGATCTGAGCCTTTCCCTCCTCATCTTGGTGCGCGCAATAAAGTTTACCGCAGAAGACTTCACTCGCGTCTGCCTCTTATCGCCGGACGATAAGAAACGTGGGCGCGACAGGCCTGCATTCCCTCACATAGAGGTGGAGCGCCGGGGCCCACAGTGCCTGTCAGCAGCAGCCACACCAACACCCTGACTGCCCTGGATGTGGGGTCCTTGAAGGTCCAGGAAAGCCAAAGTGAGGCCAGGAGGGGTGAGTCCAGTGGCACGGACACCACATGAGCACTCTGGATGAAGCTCCTGCCTCCTGGCTTTGGTCTGGCACCAGTGGCTGTGGACACGTGGGCAGCAATGAGAGGATGGATGACCTGTGTCCCCCTCTGCTTTCACACACAGAGAATCTGCTCAAACCCAAGGAGGCAAGCAGGCCCTTAAGCAATGATGAACAGGGACCATCTCTAGCACGTGGCCAGGCTGCAACAGCTTAGCGCTTGATACTGACAAACTGCTTACACAGGCTGATGCACAAGCAACTGCATGAGCAACACACAGAGCATGTGGACAGCACACAGAGCCAGACCACACATGTGGACAGCACACACCTGGACAGTGCAGACACGTGATCCAGTAAACATGTAGATAGCACACATACTTAAGCAGCGCACACATGGGCCATGCTGGGCCAGCAGGGTGGGGTGAATGGGCAGTCCTGGGCTTGAGGTGGACATGGCTTCTGTCCCAGCTATGGAGTTCCCATAGAGACTGGGCTCCTGCCCCCACGTGGTAGGCGGGCCCACCTAGCCTGGCCCAGCTGTGTGGGCACCTGGAACAGAAGCCAACAGGCGGGTACTCTCTCTCTCACATGCAGACATCTTTCTTCAAATGAAAATGCCACAACTCCTGGGAATGGGCAGGGCCAGCAAGCGCTGGGGGGCATGACTTGGAGTCTGAGTGACCCCCAGGACCACCAGGTTCACTAGAGCACAGGCTCGGGCTGGCCTCACGGTGCTGTAGGTCAAGCTGTGGTCTGGAAGCCAGCGACCCACGTTTAGCACTGCCCAGAGCCCTGGCTGCTCCACTTGCAATCCAGCTGATGCTATGAAACACCCACATGAAGACCTGGAGGAAGCTCCGGGTCCCAACTGCAGCTGGCTGTTGAAGCCATTTGGGAAGTAAACCAGCAGAAGGCAGATCTCTCTGCATCTCTTCTCTCTCTGTAACTGTGCCTTTCAAATAAAATAAATCACTCTAAATCTAACCATAACAAACATCCTCTCTCACAATCAAAAGCAGCATGAAAATCCTCAGAAGAGGACGCCACTTTGGACAAGCATCCCCCATGGCAGAGTGCACCGCCCCAGTCCTAAGGAGAGAGAGTGCTTCCATGCGCTAGGTCCCTCCCCAAACATCCACAAAGGCTGGGTCTGGGCCAGCCTGAAGCCAGGAGCCGGGAGCTTCTTCTGGGTCTCCAACATGGGTGCAGGGGTCCAACCACTGAGTGGGCTTGTACCTGCACCCATAAGGAATGCCAGCACAGCAGGTGGTAACTTAGCTTGCTACACTATAACACAGACCCTCAACTCCAACTCTGACCTTGCCTCTGTGGAGAGCTGGCACTTAAAAACCTCACCCACCTGCGACACTGGACTGCCCTGGTACCCTGGCTCCTGCCTACGGCCTGGCCCAGTCCCAAACACTGCGGATCTGTGGGGACTAAATTAGTAGCTGGGACATCTCTGCATATTTGTCTCCCTCTCTTCAATAAAATTTAAAATTTTTAAAAATTAAGCTTCAAATATCAGCCAAGTTAGCAACCTTTTTGTAAAAATAAATAAAAATTTTAAAATACAAAACTCTTACTAATAAGAAAACTTTACATGCAGGTGAAATTTCACATCCAGTTTGCTCAGAAAAAGGAGAAGCATATATATGATCAGTTCACATTTTTAGAAAACACTAAATGAGAAGCAATAACACTCAGGGAATTGTTGTATTTCTGTCGCAGGGGCCAGCACCACGGTGCAGCCAGAAAGCTGCATCTGTGTCACCCACAACCCATATGGGTGCTGACTAGAGTCCCGACTGCCCCAATTCCAGGTCCACCCTGCTCCCATGCGGGAGAACTAGAAGAAGCTCCTGGCTCCTGGCTCCTGGCTTCAGCCTGCCCCTGACCTGGCCGTTG